CAACTGGGGTATCTGACAATTGGGGTATCTGACAACTGGGGTGTCTGACAAATGGGGTATCTGACAATTGGGGTATCGGGCACCTGGGGTATCTGACAACTGGGGTATCTGACATCTGGGGTATCTGACAACTGGGGTATCTCACAGCTGAGTAATCTGACAACTGGGGTATCTGACGGCTGGGGTATCTAACAACTGGGGTATCTGACAATTGGGGTATCTGACAACTGGGGTATCTGACAAATGGGGTATCTGACAAATGGGGCATCTGACAATCGGGGTATCGGGCACCTGGGGTATCTGACAACTGGGGTATCTGACATCTAGGGTATCTGACAACTGGGGTATCTCACAGCTGAGTAATCTGACAACTGGGGTATCTGACGGCTGGGGTATCTGACAACTGGGGTATCTGACAATTGGGGTATCTGACAACTGGGGTATCTGACAAATGGGGTATCTGACAAATGGGGTATCTGACAATCGGGGTATCGGGCACCTGGGGTATCTGACAACTGGGGTATCTGACATCTGGGGTATCTGACAAATGGGGTATCCGACAACATGGGTATCTAACAGCTGAGGTTTTTGACAACTGGGATATCTGACAACTGGGGTATCTGACAACTGGGGTATCTGACAACTGGGGTATCTGGCAACTTGGATATCTGAGAGCTGGGGTATCTGACAACTTGGGTATCTGACAAATGGGGTATCCGACAACATGGGTATCTAACAGCTGAGGTTTTTGACAACTGGGGTATCTGACAACTGGGGTATCTGACAACTGGGGTATCTGGCAACTTGGATATCTGAGAGCTGGGGTATCTGACAACTGGGGTATCTGACAAATGGGGTATCCGACAACATGGGTATCTAACAGCTGAGGTTTTTGACAACTGGGATATCTGACAACTGGGGTATCTGACAACTGGGGTATCTGACAACTGGGGTATCTGACAACTAGGGTATCTGAGAGCTGGGGTATCTGACAACTGGGGTATCTGACAACTGGGATATCTGACAACTGGGGTATCTGACAACTGGGATATCTGACAACTGGGGTATCTGACAATTGGGGTATCTGACAACTGGGGTATCTGGCAACTTGGATATCTGAGAGCTGGGGTATCTGACAACTGGGGTATCTGACAACTGGGGTATCTGACAACTGGGGTATCTGACAACTGGGATATCTGACAACTGGGGTATCTGACAAATGGGGTATCTGACAACTGGGGTATCTGACAAATGGGGTATCTGACAAATGGGGTATCTGACAATCGGGGTATCGGGCACCTGGGGTATCTGACAACTGGGGTATCTGACAACTGGGGTTTCTGACAAATGGGGTATCCGACAACATGGGTATCTAACAGCTGAGGTTTTTGACAACTGGGATATCTGACAGCTGGGGTATCTGACAACTGGGGTATCTGACAACTGGGGTATCTGACAACTGGGGTATCTGACGGCTGGGGTATCTGACAACTGGGGTATCTGACAACTGGGGTATCTGACAACTGGGGTATCTGACGGCTGGGGTATCTGACAACTGGGGTATCTGACAACTGGGGTATCTGACGGCTGGGGTATCTGACAACTGGGGTATCTGACAACTGGGGTATCTGACAACTGGGGTATCTGACGGCTGGGGCATCTGACAAATGGGGTATCTGACAACTGGGGTATCTGACAACTGGGGTATCTGACGGCTGGGGTATCTGACAACTGGGGTATCTGACAACTGGGGTATCTGACAACTGGGGTATCTGACGGCTGGGGTATCTGACAACTGGGGTATCTGACAACTGGGGTATCTGACAACTGGGGTATCTGACAACTGGGGTATCTGGCAACTTGGATATCTGAGAGCTGGGGTATCTGACAACTGGGATATCTGAGAGCTGGGGTATAAAACAACGGGGATATCGGACGGCTGGGATGTCTCACAACTAGGATATGTAAAAACAGGGGTATCTGACAACTGAGGTTTCTGACAACTGGGGTATATGACAATTGGGGTATCGGACACCTGGGGTATCTGACATCTGGGGTATATGACAATTGGGGTAACTGACAACTGGGGTATCTGACAACTGGGGTATCTGACAACTGGGGTATCTGAAATCTGGGGTATATAACAACTGGGGTATCGGACAACTGGGGTATCCGACAACATGGGTATATAACAGCTGAGGTTTTTGACAACTGGGGTATCTGACAACTGGGGTATCTGACAACTAGGGTATCCGACAACTGGGGTATCTGACAACTAGGGTATCTGAAAGCTGGGGTATATAACAACTTGGGTATCGGACAACTGGGGTATCTCACAGCCGGGGTATATGAAAACAGGGGTATCTGACAACTGGGGTATCTGACAACTAGGGTATATAAGAACTGGGGTATATGACAGCTGAGGTATCTGACAATTGGGGTATCTGACAACTGGGGTATCTCACAGCCGGGGTATATGAAAACAGGGGTATCTGACAACTAGGGTATATAAGAACTGGGGTATCTGACAACTAGGGTATATAAGAACTGGGGTATCTGACAACTAGGGTATATAAGAACTGAGGTATCTGACAACTGGGGTATCTCACAACTCGGGTATCTGACAACTGGGGTATCTGACAACTGGGGTATCTGACGGCTGGGGCATCTGACAAATGGGGTATCTGACAACTGGGGTATCTGACAACTGGGGTATCTGACGGCTGGGGTATCTGACAACTGGGGTATCTGACAACTGGGGTATCTGACAACTGGGGTATCTGACGGCTGGGGTATCTGACAACTGGGGTATCTGACAACTGGGGTATCTGACAACTGGGGTATCTGACAACTGGGGTATCTGGCAACTTGGATATCTGAGAGCTGGGGTATCTGACAACTGGGATATCTGAGAGCTGGGGTATAAAACAACGGGGATATCGGACGGCTGGGATGTCTCACAACTAGGATATGTAAAAACAGGGGTATCTGACAACTGAGGTTTCTGACAACTGGGGTATATGACAATTGGGGTATCGGACACCTGGGGTATCTGACATCTGGGGTATATGACAATTGGGGTAACTGACAACTGGGGTATCTGACAACTGGGGTATCTGACAACTAGGGTATCTGAAATCTGGGGTATATAACAACTTGGGTATCGGACAACTGGGGTATCCGACAACATGGGTATATAACAGCTGAGGTTTTTGACAACTGGGGTATCTGACAACTGGGGTATCTGACAACTAGGGTATCCGACAACTGGGGTATCTGACAACTAGGGTATCTGAAAGCTGGGGTATATAACAACTTGGGTATCGGACAACTGGGGTATCTCACAGCCGGGGTATATGAAAACAGGGGTATCTGACAACTGGGGTATCTGACAACTAGGGTATATAAGAACTGGGGTATATGACAGCTGAGGTATCTGACAATTGGGGTATCTGACAACTGGGGTATCTCACAGCCGGGGTATATGAAAACAGGGGTATCTGACAACTAGGGTATATAAGAACTGGGGTATCTGACAACTAGGGTATATAAGAACTGGGGTATCTGACAACTAGGGTATATAAGAACTGAGGTATCTGACAACTGGGGTATCTCACAACTCGGGTATCTGACAATTGGGGTATCCGACAACTGGGGTATCTGACAAATGGGGTATCTGACAATCGGGTATCTAACAGCTAAGGTATGTGACTACTGGGGTATATAACAACGGGGTTATCTGACGAATGGGATATCTCACAACGGGGATATCTGAAACAGGGGTATCTGACAACTGTGGTATCTGACAAATGGGATATATGACAGCTAGGGTATCTGACAAATGGGGTATCTGACTAAAGAGGTATCTGACAAATGGGGTATCTGTAAGCCGGGGATATCTGAGAGCTGGGGCATCTGACAAACGGGGTATCTGACTAAAGGGGTATCTGACAAATGGGGGATCTGACAAATGGGGTATCTGACAAATGGGGCATCTGACTAAAGGGGTATCTGACAAATGGGGGATCTGACAAATGGGGAATCTGTAAGCCGGGGATATCTGAGAGCTTGGGTATCTGATAAATGGGGTATCTGACCAATGGGGTATCTGACAAATGGGGTATCTGACAAATGGGGCATCTGACTAAAGGGGTATCTGACAAATGGGGGATCTGACAAATGGGGGATCTGTAAGCCGGGGATATCTGAGAGCTGGGGTATCTGATAAATGGGGTATCTGACAAATGGGGTATCTGACAAATGGGGCATCTGACAAATGGGGTATCTGACAAATGGGGCATCAGACAAATGGGGTATCTGACTAAAGGGGTATCTGACAAATGGGGGATCTGACAAATGGGGGATCTGTAAGCCGAGGATATCTGAGAGCTGGGGTATCTGATAAATGGGGTATCTGACAAATGGGGTATCTGACAAATGGGGCATCTGACAAATGGGGTATCTGACAAATGGGGCATCTCACAAATGGGGTATCTGACAGCCGGGATATCTGACAAATGGGGTATCTGTAAGCCGGGGATATCTGAGAGCTGGGGTATCTGATAAATGGGGTATCTGACAAATGGGGTATCTGACAAATGGGGTACCTGACAAATGGGGCATCTGACAGCCGGAGAATGACTTTTTGTACTAGGCGAGATTAAATGAAGCGGGTGGTCAGGTTCGGGGAATCAGTTAATTGCGACGGCGTGTGCCATTTCTCATATAATCAGTCATCGATTTGTCTAGTCAAGCCTCGATTATTTGCAGGCCGTCGTCATAAAGCTGACATATTGCTTACTGCAGCCATATACAACAAACAAACCAATTCAAGAGCGCTTGACACGCCCATGTCAAGCTGCACTGGAAACAGGAACTGCCTCGATTGGCCAAGGGAGATAACCGACACTAGTTTAAGGCACTTCCTTGTACGTTAGAGAGTAAGGGCAAAGCTTCTGAATTCTAACATGTGTTTCCATACAATCGTAAACAAAAACATAGCATTTCCAAGAATTTATTCAATAAAAACATTATTTGTGGATTGGTGGTTTACATGGAACCAGGGTGTTAAAGACGTAGTTAACCCGACACAACACGTAAACAACGTGTAAACAACAGATAAACAACATGTAAACAACTCGGTACTTCGACAGAGGCTACGCGAATGTGACAACCACATCGTTCAGACTTTATACCCAATAATCAGAGAAGATGAGATAAGGATGAAGACAAACACCCGACCTCTGGTTGGATGTAGTTTTGATACAGTTCAATGGGCTATCAGTTTGTATTTAGGAAGCTACACTGTAATGAACGGTGGTCCATGCCCGCCACTGGTGAGATCATTTCCCCCTGTAAACCTCTATATTTATCCCACCCGTGGAAGTATCTGGCGGCCGCCAGATAAAATATAGAAGCATACAGTAAAAAATGATCTATCGTAGTAAAACACTCGCGCACAGATCAAATGTATGGTGTGTACCGGCTGCGCCAACCGTATCTCTGCTCCCTATGAACGATTTGATATTGACTTGTCGCGACACAGTTGGTTGGTTTGTTGTTTAACGCCGCACTCAGCAATATTCCAGCTATATGACGGCGGTGTGTAAATAATCGAGTCTGGGCCAGACAATCCAGTGATTAATATCATGAGCATCGATCCACGCAATTGGGATTGATGGCATATATCAACCAAGTCAGCGAGCCTGACCACCCGATCCCGTCAGTCATTGTCGCCTTTTACGACAAGCATGATTTGCTGAAGACCTATTCTACCCCGGATCTCCACGGGCCCCCTACACAGAGCTGCCGTATCCACAGTGATATGGTAACCGCAGCTAGATGTGCACATACAATGACGGAGCTTTCTACTTTCTATGTGGAAACATCTTCAGGTTGAAGTTAAGTATCAGCTCTAATGAAATAAACATGCGTGTTCAGAGTTGTTTGTGTTGTTGAGTATTCAATGTCGGAAACGTCTGGACACTGATGGCAAGTCTGTCTTACAGACCCTGATACAAATATATCAACTACAGCCCATGCAAGTCTGTAATGTTTGGCAAGTCTAGATTACTGCAGTATCAAAATAAGTATGAAAATGAACAGAATCACTGGGCTCCCTTTTTATTATATTTTTATTAAGATAACTGAACAACTGTTTTTTTTCTGTACGATATGTTCATTTCAGAGACTATATGTTAGTCTAACTGATGGCGTCAGTTAGAAGAAATTGAGGACGGGCTAAAGTGAAAGAACAAACATGTTCGAAGTTCTTCTGCTCAATATTGATCTAACTTAATATTTGACTAATGTAGTATCCATTTCGTCCAGAATAATGTCACGTATAATAATCATTTTCTGGATTGGGAGTAGGGACTAGCTCGGCACCGTGACCTTGGACTATATATGTAGTGTATGAAACCAAAACCAATTTAGATTTTAAAATTACACGTCTAGCCAGCTCTATTCCACCAAAGAGTATTTAAGATGAGAGAACTGTATTGTGTACCTAAGGGTTTTATAGATTACACTTTGTCTGTGACTGTACAAGCCTCAAGGAACAGGTCAATGGTAAATGGGGCATTTCAATGTCTAAACAGGGATTTTACGAGAGCTTCTTTCGTTTAGTAACACAAGAAGAAGACGGGGTATTACATTGATGAGGTCAGAACATAGATTGCTATGACATAGATAACAAGAACAATTACTGTTTCATCTATGTGATAGTGAACTGTTGTCTTCCATTAAACATACGTACGGAGAATTAATTTCACATATGCAATATTCATCCGGTTGACGAATGTTTATTTGTCAATTGTCTTCAGACTGTCAAGCGTGACACACTCGGAAAATATGCACAATAAAGTACGCATATATACTAGTACATAGATACAGATAATTCGTATGGTCTTCTTGACATTAGGTAAATATAATGATAAAATTAATATACATACATTTCGAAATTTGTATATGAAGCATTTCGTTTCAGGGGGAAACGTAAAAGAAATATCACAAACAAAATGATAATTTATAAATGAAATAGATTGAAATGAAGCCATGACTGATTACAGAATCGTTTCCCAGATACAAATGAAAAATCTTTCATTGTCCGTTATCTTCCGAAAGACGAGGTCATGTGATTCGACAGGTCAGGGGGTCTTCAATTGTGACCTGTGGCTTGACAGCTGTGAGTTGTGACCGGTGACTTGTGAACAGTGACCTGTGGCCATTGAATTATGATTTGGGAATCATTCTTCTAATTGGTGAGAGGAGTTAGCGTGGACCGTCGTGGCTGAAGATGGGTTGCTTATGTCGCAGTCGTAATTCATTGTCGTTGGTCGTTAACGAAGTCGTTGTGTGTAGTCGATGTGGTCATGGTCATCGACGTGAGTAGTAGCAGAGGACGTAGCCGAGGCTCGTCAGTGTTAAAACAGCAGTCAGGTCATCATCTGGACAACAGAGAATTTGATGATATAGAGTGAGTGAGTGAGTGAGTATGGTTTTACGCCGCTTTTAGCAATATTCCAGCAATATCACGGCGGGGGACACCAGAAATGGGCTTCACACATTGTACCCATATCGGGAATCGAACCCGGGTCTTCGGCGTGACGAGCTAACGCTTTAACCACTAGGCTACCCGACCGCCCCTGATGATATAGAAGGAACAGGTAAAATGGGGCTAAACGTGGCGTTCGATGTACTTATGACCGCCTCCGTGGTCTTGTGGTAGAGCGTCCGCCCGGAGAGCGGAAGGTCCAGGGTTCGATCCCGGGCCGCGTCATACAAAAAGACGTTAAAAGATTGTACTTGTTGTTACCCTGTCTGGCGCTCGGCATTAAGGGGCTAAAACAAGGACTGGTCGGCTCGGAGTCAGTAAACTGTGTCTGAGTGGGGTATTCATGTTAAACTGCGGCATGGTATCTCAGTGAGCTAGCACTATAAATCGGCATCAGTCCGGACTAGTACAAGCAGCCACACACACACATACACGTGCATGCACGTCGCTATATAAGTGCAATAATCTTGGACGCGACGTTAAACCCAATTTCACCTCACCTCGATGTACTTATATAACGACGCGCACGCACGTTTGTGCATGGCTGCATGTTTGCTTGTTTATTTGTTTGTTTGTTTTTTAACGCCGCACTCACCAATATTCCTGCTATGTGACGGCGGTCTGTAAATAATCGAGTCTGGACCAGACAATCCATTGATTGACATCATGAGCATCGACCCACGCAATTGGGATCAATGACATGCATCAACCAAGTCAGCGCTCCTGAGCACCCGATCCCGTTAGTCGCCTCTTTGGACAAGCAAAGTCGCCTCTTTCGGCAAGCATGGGATGCTGAAGACCTATTCCACCCCGGATCTTCGCGGATCGCATGGTTAAATGTACTAGTCCGGACTAATATCGGTTTATAGTGCTAGCCCACTGAGATACCATGCCGCAGTTTACCATGGACAGTATACTGACTCCGAGCCCCCCAGTCCATGCCGAGCGCCAGGCTGGGTAATAACAAGTACAATCTGTTAACGTATAGTATGACGGGGCTAGGAATCGAACACCGGCACTCCGTTTTCCGGCTGATCGAAAGGGCACGTGACAACACTACATTAGACGCTGTTAATGCTTCATAATACAACATACACAAACCTACAGTGTGTTACGTGGCAATGCTTTAATTTTGTTTTTCATGCACCAATATCGCGACGGACAATTACCTCAACAAAATACTTGAATATGGAATCGAACCAAGTATTCATCGTGACAAAAGCGAACACTTTAACCACTTGCCTAATACCACCCCGTTAGACGCTTTGCGTGAATCAAATATTTAATATTTATTATTCAGAATGATTCGTTTATTTTAGGTTGCGTGCCCTCACTATCTACAACACAGTGAAACAAAATCACGTGACAGTAGTCATTATCTTTAGTTACGAAAGCACTTCTCAACGTTGATCGTCCGGGGCGCTTGTCGGACTGAGGGGGTCCCGACTGAAGAGGTTTCACTATATAGGGATAATGTGAATGAGTGGTTTTACGCCGCTTTAGGAAGTATTCCAAACATATCTCGACGGGGGACACAGGGAATGGGCTTCACACATTGCAATCATGTGGGAATTGAACACTGACCGTTAGCGTGATAGGTTAACACTTTAACCACAAGACTACCCCACCGTCCCATAACCTTAACACGTGACAATAACTAATTGCCAGGCGATACAACTAATAACCTTATTTATCATACAATGGGTAGGTTTCTCGGCAGGATAAAGCCAACGGATAAAAACGATATCCGTTGGGGTCATATGCGGATAGAGATGCAAATATCAAAGGTCAAGTAGGGACTACTTTCGCTGTTTATAAACAAACATGGTGTCGCCCTCGTCATTCGGCGATCGAGTCAGAATTAACCATCCCGAACCTGGATAAACTACAGGGATAAATGCTATCATTATCAAAAGAACAGTCTAATATACTGAATATCAGTGTCTTACTGTGACGTAGCTAAGGCATTTTATAAGTTTTAGCAACTTTGGAGATATACATTTCGAACAATTTTGCGAGGGCACGAGGCCTAGCCAAGCGGGATCAGTAGCCATATCTGTGGTTGTAACCCTCTGCGGCTTGAAACCTTCTCCACAAATTAAAATAGTTGGATTTGGCCGAAATATGTTCGAATTGTTACCTTGTTTCGTTTTGTCGCTTTGTGTACATCTGACTACACTTCTTAACGTTATGACAAGACAGACCGACTGTCAACAACATCTGACCGTGGCCGTGACGTCTCATAGACTAGGGTTAGAGTAGCTTCCCTTTGACAAAGGGCAGTTACTCTAGCGGACAGACCGATGGATTGCCGCGAAAGGCAATTACAAGGCAATTGTTTTGCGTATATGTTCCTTCGCCACTGTATAAGAAACAGATTTCAGTTGGAACTATATTGGCTACCGTCACTGTCCGACTGACACATCACTTACCCTATGACGTAATATATATTAATGCGCGCATTCCAGGAAAACTCGCAATGTTTCGGTAATGATTGTGAGAGAGAGAAAGCAATTTTGAAGCACAGAATTAAAGAATGACATTATATGAGAAAGAGGTTATCACGCTTGTGTGTTTGGGGATGGTAAATATCCTGTATTAGGAATAAACACTATGTATTTAGCTTGCCAAGGCTCGCTAAATACAATGTTTATTCCTAATGCAGGATATTTACCATCCCCACACACACTCGCGTGATAACCTCTATATATACGAGCAATAGCAAACTGTACTATATAACAGATGACGAAACATAATGAGCGTATATATGTAACCCTTTACAACAAATAAATACTGTTTTGTCTATCATACGTTACTATATGTACATACGATAACCATATATCTATCAAACGAAACATCAAATAAATACAGTATATCTAAAAAACTAAAAAACGAAACGACAAAATTAATAATTACCATATATCTGTGACAGGTTACACAAAGATAATACCTTTGATTTTTCTTCTGTCCTGATATCAAACAGGAAACAATCATCCAAGAGCAAGAAGACTTGGTTCCGTAACGAGGTAAGGCCGGACCAAGCGAGTGGTCAAAGTCGCCTACCTCGAACATGAAGTTGTCCCCGGTCGGTACCTCCTTATATACAGGTACCCCACAACAGTGGGCGTGTCGCGGTTAACCGACAACTCTAGTAGAAAACGTAGTCAGATCGTCTGAATTAAGAATTGCCAGTAAGCATTCTGTTCAACAAAACACAAGTACGAAATAGCTGACTGATAACTTTATTTAGAGCTATAACATCATGATATTGTACAAAGTGACGTCACCGACTGTTCTGGAGATCGAAATATGCTGACTTGACAGAATAGAGCGAAGGATGAATAGCCACATGGACACTATTTTCTATTCTAGAACATTATGTAATTCTATGAATATTAATATCTTACCATGAAAATCATAAGTGATTATTTATATATCCTACACATATACGCAGGGATAATTCTTGGGAGGGTCCTTGTGCTTTTAGCCCCTAAATTTAAAAAAGGCCCACATTTTCAAATACAATGGGCATTTTAACATTGTGCTGTTTGGGCGTACCTCTGGGATATTTAAAATGTTCACATAAAGGCCCCATGTGAGAAAATTCCTAGAGTGAACCCTGTTTTTGTCGTAGCCATTGTTTTTGCGGTGTCTATTTAGTATAAAGGTCAAATTAAGATAACAAACAATTCAATCATCTTTGTTTCCTAAACAATACTTAGATATAAAGCTCACGAAATACTTTTGACATTTCGACAAATTTGGCTATTTTATATAAATGTCTGTATGTTTATTTTTCATTTTGGTGTACTTGATTTCTGCAGCGATACCTATCGGCCGTGTGTCCTCCACATTCTATACTCCTGGTGTTCATATAGAGATTCTGATGCACTTTAACCGCAGATGTGATGACAAAACAGTATCATGTGCCGATTTCACATATTCATTGAAGCGCCATAAAAGACGCGGTTAACCGCGGATTCAATGTCATTGCGACATCGGAGTGAAGTAGGCTTCGCTTCAATTTTAACCGAGTTACGAGCCCTGAATAAGACTGAGTGACGTGCTGCACATTATCGAATTTACCCTAAACTATCATCAGTTCATCGGTTATATTTGGACAATAATCATTCAGTCAAAAAGATTAGGCCATATAAACTAGAAAAATACATCGATGATATATTGATACAATATTATAGATATTTTATATAAATAATTAAATATATTTTGTTAATGGTACACCACATTGCGTTTAACCACAACTAGTTGTAGGTACATATAACACGGAAATAAACATTGCGAGAATAGTGTCCGTGTTGCTAAACGACGAAACGTGATTTCAATACATAAACACAAATCAGTTTGTAATAAAAGTAATAGTTTTGATTCATGTGTTGGTTATTATGGTATTAGGTGTGACTAACTTCTGCAAGCTAAGAAAATGTAGTGGGTATATTTGGCGATTAACCGCAACGTATTTATAATGTCGGCTGACGAAGAGAACGTTGAAGCTATGATTGCACAATCTGATCAAAACGGTTGGTATATAAAGTAGACTCGCCACCGTAACACTTCACAGCGAGGTGGGCATCTTAGACCAAAAGTTGTCGCACGTCTGGTCCGGCCGTACCTCATAATCTTCAGCGCCGTTTGCAGAGCAGCTGAAATTATCCAGGAAGGTGTGACACAGGGCATCGCACCTTGTTTTTGAGATCGGTATGGATATTTTATTATTAAGATCAGTGTTTAACATAATTATCTACATACTCTACCAAAACATAAATGTTGATGTTTTGTTATTATATTTGTTGCAAATTATGAGGATGAATAAGGTACCACTGTATCCTGTAATAATGTTCTGTGTCAGACTCATGTTCTGCTTGGTGGGTTTGGGTTTGGGTGGGGTGTCGTCACGCCGAAGTCCGAGTTCTATTCTCTACATAAGCACATGTTTGCAGGAATATTACTAAACTCATTCGATCACTCACTAAGGCTTCATCGGGCCAGACGATTACTTTACATATCATCGATAACTCTGCATGTGGTAAAGGTCTATATTCTGTATTGCATACTATCATGGACATATCATACACTGGAGGAGTCTTCAGCAACCCATGCTTGCCGTAAAAGGCGACCATGCTTGCCGTAAAAGGCGACCATGCTTGACGTAAGAGGCGACAAACGGGATCGGATTGTCATGCCCGCTGACTTGGTTGATGCGTAGATCGATGCTCATGATATCAGTCACTGGATTGTCTGGTCCAGACTCGATTATTTACAGACCGCCGTCATATACCAGGAGTATTGGTGAGTGCGGCGTTAAACGACAAACAAATAAAACAAACAAACACTGGAGGATAGTACATGAATGTCGATTCGGAAACTAAATCCATTCAACCTTTTCGGTTGCCCCCTGCCGGTAAGCGAACCTGTTCATTAAATCTTTAGACACAGGAGGGCGGAGACTGGGTTGTAGAATGTATACCAATCCTTAAATTCTCTGTACTCCTCAAAGACGATTAATTCCTTTATACCAATTTTATCAAAATTGAATCTCTATATGTATATATGATTAAATATATTCCTTTCATTCATAACAGGTGGGGTACTACAGACGCGAGTGGCTACAGACATCAGACACTGGAATGGACTTCCACAGCAACTCCGTGGTGTTTCACCCAGACACTGTTCCACAGAGCGCTCCCATATCTGCCGACCAGGTGAGAAACAACGCAGGGGGATTCGGATGGAAGGTGGACGACATCACCCGCCTCAAGCGCTTCCTGTGCCTGGGTACAGAAGGAGGCACGTACTACACTTCACAGAAGGCCTTGACGCAGCAGAATGTTGGGTGTATTGTGAATCTCATCAGTGAGGGAAAGGGAGTTGATGTGGTCAAAACCATCAAACAGTTTAGTCTGGAGGGACGCACAGCCAAACAGACATCCATCCTACTGGCTCTAGCTGTCTGCTGTAGAAGCACTGATTTAACCACCAAACAGCAAGCCTACAAAGCTCTGGGTGACATCTGCCGAATTCCAACATTCCTGTTCGAGTTTATTGAACGGTGTGAGAGTCAGGGGAAGACCACAGGATGGGGACGGGCGCACAGAAACGCCATTTCGGCCTGGTACAATAAGTTCAGTGACGACCCTGTCAAGCTAGCCATGCAAGTCACGAAATATCGAAAGAGGAAGGACTGGTCGCACCGGGATGTCTTGCGACTGTCACACACCAAACCCGCCAACGAGGCCATCGGTGTCGTCCTGAGATATGCCGTCAAAGGACTGGCGGATGCCAAACAAATGTATGACAAACCGGAACTGGAATCTTCAGCTGTAAGGAAGGTCCTGCAATTTCTGGCTGTTGTGGAGGAGGCCAAATCGTGTAAGGAGGAAAACAAGATGGTGGAGCTGATTCGGCAACATGGACTTGTACGGGAGCACATCCCCACATCGCTGCTGTCGTCTACTACTATTTGGAAAGAACTGCTTCAGAAAATGCCAATGACAGCCATGATTCGGAACCTTGGTAAGATGACCTCAATCGGCGTTCTAACAGCCGGTTGTTCCGAGGAAGATCTGGTGATTCAGAAACTGACAGACCGAGACTCCCTGAAACAAGCCCGGATCCACCCGTTCAATGTGTTGGTTGCACTGAAGACCTACTCAGCAGGCTGTGGAGAGAAGGGCAAACTAACTTGGACGCCAACTAAACGTATCGTGAAAGCTTTGGATGATGCGTTCTATATGTCCTTCAAATTTGCATTACCAACCAAGAAGCGTTATCTTCTAGCAGTGGATGTGAGTGGCTCGATGGGCTGCTCAGTGATGGGTACACCGTCAGTCTCGTGCAGGAGTGCTGCTGCCGCCATGATGATGGTCACGAAGCGGACTGAAGAGCCAGACAAGTCCACTGTTGTTGCTTTCTGTCATAAGTTAACCCCACTGAACATTAAGCATTCAGATGATCTAGACACAGTGACAGGCAAAATAAGTGACATGAGTTTCGGAGGGACTGACTGTGCGCTGCCGATGGTCTGGGCAAAACAGAAAAAGAAGATGTTTGATGTGTTTGTGGTGTACACGGATAGTGAGACTTGGTTCGGAAACATTCATCCGTCTGAAGCTCTGCGCCAGTACCGGAAGTGGAGTGGATTGTGGGATGCCCGTCTGATCGTCTGCGGAATGGCCAGCAATGAGTTCACAATAGCAGACCCGGATGATCCTGGGATGATGGATGTCGTGGGCTTTGATTCAGCTGCCCCAGAGGCCATGCGCTCGTTTGTCATGGGCGAAATATGACTTTCCGGGAACAATTCTTGTTAGTTCATTGTGGATACCGTGTTACAGTTCATGAAACCCAAGCAGACTTTTTGGAAGTAGTGGAAATACTGTTTGTAGAATTAACCAAAAGAATTCGCTCCGAAGCATAATTAAACATTTTTAAAGATGTTTATGTAATTTAGTGGTTCTTCTGTCGACCATTTATAGTTACACAATCTTTGGTTAATATACAGGGTGCCCAGCCTGTCTTTGTAAAATATGCAGAGTTGGTTCGATATTGTTGTGTTTGCTCGTTACATTCGTTTTTTTTAATAATTCTGGGTTTTATCACAGTGATCAAACTGTTCTACACTTACAATGTGTTATGTAAAGCAAGTGGTAGGGATATCTTTGTGATAGCTCACCTTATGTCCCTCCGTGTTTGACAAGCGTTATAAGTGTTTGAACTGTAAACTGTAACATGTTTAACCTACATTTAAATTTGTCCTAGCTATACTCCTTTGCCTGAACTATTTCTGCTGTTGTTTGTGGGGGCTTTCTATCCTCACCTGGCTCACTACTTCACAAGGGAATATTTAGACCACAAAAATTAATCAGTCGATTTTCACATAACATTTTCAATCTTGTGGGAGGGAAGTATTTTTTTGTTCTGTTTTTCACATTTAATGGGGGCGGTCGGGTAGCCTAGTGGTTAAAGCGTTCGCTTGTCACGCCGAAGACCCGGGTGCGATTCCCGACATGGGTACATTGTGTGAAGCCCATTTCTGGTGTCCCCCGCCGTGATATTGCTGGAATATTGCTAAAAGCGGCGTAAAACCATACTCACTCACGCAATCACATTTAATGTTCTTAAAATGGTTAAAGGCATATCCGTGCGGCCAGCGTTGACGATGTCATTCACATGAACTATGAGTGTTTTGTAGTGTATTTCATCAATGAGAGAAAGAAGGGGACACATATGTCGATTTTCTCCAGCTTCTTAGGGGCAATCGAATGATGTGAGAATGATGAGGATGAAACCGAATAATTATGGTATGATAGCCGGACACATGATCATCTTATGTCGTTTTTTCGGCAACAAAAACACTTGTAATGCTTTAAAACACATAGGGAATTATTATTAAAGTAGAACAGTGTACATAAAGTGTGCTGATTTAGGAGTAACTTCTTACTACTCGGACACTTAGACTTCCACACTGAACAGCAACAGCAGTATTGATCACGGAGGCTCAAAATGTTCTCGATAACAATCGTCAGATTTGTACAATATACTACTCAAAAGAAGTTCAAGAACAGCCCCAATTAGAAGACAGTGTGCTACAATACTCACCGGCCATGACAGATTAACTATGGTCATTTGAAGACATTTGGTGTTTCTTAACTTCTTTTGAGTAGTATATGTTTTAATTCTTAGTTCAAATATGTCTATCTCACAGAAGGCTCCCCTTCCTAATATGGGGCCCGAAGTGTGTTGTTTTTATAATGATGAGTGTTGACATTTTATAACTTTTCATCACATTTCGCCAAACTTGCACTGTGGATTATTTGTTTGTTTATCATCACATCTCGCCGTCACTTAAACTGTAGAATATTTGTTTGTTTATCACATCTCGCCGTCACTCATGTGAGAAATGTACAAAAGGCCAGGCGTTTTATATTTTACGGATTACGGACCCACCAACTATAATTTTTGAGAAAATGTAAAAATAAATAAATCAGATTTCCATTTTTTTTCCCGCCTATAGCTGCGTAGTCAGTTATTTTATTTGTTATCGTCACCTTTTACGAAAAAAAACCAGATGAATTTACCGTTGTAAACTAGTAAAAAGATACATAATCGATCTTTGTTGATCTCGAAGCCGAACATGAATAGCCTCCCTTGACAATTGTCCGTGTTGTAAGTGGTAGAATTTTTATCGTCACAAATGGCGGTCTTTTGAGCACAGAACATGTTCACAAAGTATGCCAGAGGCATTCTGCATTTAAAGAAACGCATCAGGCTTTATTTCCCCCTCCTCCAACCCAGGACTTTGGGCTGAAAAATCCGTAATCCTCAAAATAAAAAAAAAGCCTGGCCTAACAATGGCGTCTAGTCTTTATCGCCCAATCATGACCATACTGAGAAGAAGTCGACGAGCTAAAGTAATGTCCTCCCATGTATATTAATGTATTCATTACTTCGATACTAAATCGGTTTATGTTGTTTAATTGTATTTGAGAGTTATTTACTGCAGGAAGGAAGTTAAATAAAAATATGTCTCCTTACCACTATCAACTTGTTTGTTTTTGTCTTCTCCAACTGACCAGGGAAAGGTTGAGTTCACTTAGTGCATGGGTATACACCCTCCAATTGTCTTGTGTGTGACGGGTGAGGTAACATGGGGTTAACGTCGCGTTCAAGATTATTGCAGTTATATAGCAACATGCATGCAAAAGAGTGTGGCTTCTTGTACGAGTCTGGACTTATGCCCGACAGAGATACCATGCCACAGGTTAATATAGACATCCCCCATCGTGTTCCTTGAAGAACGGATTTACGCAAAGTGTGCACACCGGTTTTAATTTTAATACGTTGATACGCAATATGCTTTTGTTTATTTGTTGTTTAACGCCGCACTCAACAATATTCCAGCTATATGAAGGCTGTCTGTAAATAATCGAGTTTGGACCAGACAATCCAGGGATTAAGGAAGAGAATTTATGGATGAGAACTTCTTTACTATGTTGACATCCATAAATACTCTTCCTTATGTGTATCACTTCTAAATGCCTTTCAAAGACCTAATCCAGTGATTGACATCATGAGCATCGATCTACACATTTGGGATACGATGACATGCATCAACCAAGTCGGCGAGCCTGCCCACCCGATCCCGTTAGTCACCTCTTACGACAAGCATAGTCGACGCAATATGCAGTCACCTCAGGACCTATATATTTTAGTTTGCTCTCTTTTCATCGATGCAATGCCTTCTTGTTAAAATAACTATTGTACATTGTTCCCAAAAGGCTTAGAAAAAGGTTTTCCAATGCGTTAGTAATTATGCAAACACATATGTGTACTAATCATTTGGCACGCCAAAAACCTATGATCGCGGGTTCGAATCCCGGTTCGCCCTGGTTATGTTTCTAGGTTTGTCAGCGCCGTACTCGTGCTCGTGGGTTTCACTAAAGTTGTAAACGTCGGAGACCTGCATCACTTCGGGCTTTCCTTCCACATTAAGCTGACACGCCGTCATATAACTGGAACAGTGTTCAAAGCAGCATTAAAACCAACTCACTCCTGCGGGACTATATTATAAATGCGGCGGTCCACTCAGGCATTGTATCACTTCGCGTTTTTTAAATATACATTAGTGAATTTTTTTTATCCAAAACCTCGATTATTAACGAATTTCGTGATTCTTTTTCGACTGGCGACGACTATAATGCAATTGAGCGAAGCCCACGCTAAAAATCGCCTCCGAGACAGTATCTAAATGAACAGTGAGTTAGTGAGTGAGTTGGGTTTAACGCCGCTTTTAACAGTATTCCAGTCATATCGCGGCGTGCCCCCCTAAATGAACAGACACAATGTCGAATTGTGGGTGCGTTAGAGGGGTGGGGTTGGGGGGCGTCAACAATATCCGAAGTTTCTCAAATGTTTGGCAAATAATAAAGTGTCATTTCTCGACTGTGTGACAAGTACCATCAAACGGTTGGGCATGGCCGTGGCAGGCTGACAACCAGACAAGTCCGTCTCATTACATTAATTGAACTATAGATTCAAATCAGCTCCTGTTATCAATCGAAACATTCGTACACAACCAGGAAGGCGAATTTCAACATCTACCGTTAAAAACCCGACCAATACAGCCAGCCTGAAAGCAAGGCGTCCTTTGAAGGGTGTGACCCTAACAGCTTACCACAGGTGGCAAAGATGGGGGTAGGCTACCCGACACCAGGGACGGGACCTAGCACCCGCCAACTTGGGATAGCTCTTCGTAGACAAAAACATCAGACACAATTTAAATTTGTTTAGTTACCTCTAACATTTGATAGATATTGCAGCTGATGCTGATTATTATATATTATTTATCATATATATCATTGGAATATGACTGTGGAATAGTATCTTCTTTTTTTTCTTTTCTTTTTGACATCATTTATTCATGTTAATTGTCAGCGTCCGCCCGGAGAGCGGAAGGTCCAGGGTTCGATCCCGGGACGCGTCATACAAAAAGACGTTAAAAGATTGTACTTGTTGTTACCCTGTCTGGCGCTCGGCATTAAGGGGCTAAAACAAGGACTGGTCGGCTCGGAGTCAGTATACTGTGTCTGAGTGGGGTATTCATGTTAAACTGCGGCATGGTATCTCAGTGAGCTAGCACTATAAATCGGCATCAGTCCGGACTAGTACAAGCAGCCACACACACACATACACGTGCATGCACGTCGCTATATAAGTGCAATAATCTTGGACGCGACGTTAAACCCAATTTCACCTCACCTCACCTCATGTTAATTGTCCACGAATTTACATGGCCCTGTTCATTGCCACGTGGACTTGCATACCAGGGTTTATATTTTTATATTTGGGTTTGAGTTGCTTAAAGCAATAATACTCATCTAATTATTCAGTACACATTTAATTTTTTCTGCAAGATTAACATTGTTATACTGTAGTACTTTGTAGGAATAGTAGCTAGTTATGATTGTGTTGGCCAGAAAAGACAACGGCAAGGACCTTCAAAACTACAAAACGTTTCGATTCAAATGGAGAGGATCATAAAGAACTCATAGAAAGAGTTCGGTGGTATCGTTTTATTACAAAATACTAGTAGACATCATCGCAATTCAAGTTAGATACCATGCCGCAGTTTAACATGAATACCCCACTCAGACACAGTATACTGACTCCGAGAAGACCAGTCCTTGTTTTAGCCCCTTAATGCCGAGCGCCAGACAGGGTAACAACAAGTACCATCCTTGAACGTCTTTTGGTATGACGCGGCCGGGGATCGAACCCTGGACCTTCCGCTCTCTGGTATGTGTATAAAAACCTTCGTATTGTAGGCCATGAAGAACTATTGTATTGTACGGTACAGATGTCACTATTGATACAGAATGCAACAAGTTTGATGCGAATGAAGCCACGGAATGAAGCATGAATATAATTATACTCTTAAAAAAAAGTAGGGGAAACTCGGACATAACTTGAAATTCCAAATTAGTAAGAAACAGAAGTTTCTGGTAATAGTTGTATGAATTCGAAACACGTTACAACCGATAGTGAAGTATGACAGCAGATGATCTGTAGATTACCCCAGTTTCGACGTTGTGTGTACACTATTGACGCCTCTTGGCAATGTGACGATTTGGTAGGGGCTGCACAACACGTGGCAGTCGAGCATGGAGATGAGCTACATGTAGACGATTTCTACTCGTCTGACCCGTAACTCGTACTCCAGGAGCCTGGTGAAAGTTTGCAGCAAATGGATTTGCCGTTTTACCTCGATTTTTTAGTGCCTGGTTACGGATAAATCGTTTACCTGTGACGCCCTGGGCGGGGTCGAACGACAATATTTTGGGTTTGTTGGTACCTGTTCCAGTATCTGCTAATCACAGACTGTGTAAAATGGAACATTTGGGCCACTGCACGCTGACCTCTGCCAGTTTAAAGCATGTCAAAAGCGTGGAGACACTGCAGGCGTCGCATCGCTAGTTCATACACAAACAATGCATGAAATCAAGTAAATCACAAGTGTATGATAAGCAGATTCAATAAGATTCACAGAAATAATGGTCCACAGAGATAAATCTACCTTTCTTGAAAGTGTCAAAATCAGGAATGCCAACCTACGCACATGCATTGTGCTACTGCGTGAGGCACGTGCAAGCCATAGGATGTGTTTTGGTGTTCAGTTTTACAGACATAAACATTCGTGCGTGGGAGTGAGTGAGTGAGTTGGGTTTAACGCCGCTTTTAACATTATTCCAGTTATATCACGGCGTGTCAGCTTAATGTGGGAGGAAAGCCGAAAGTGATGCAGGTCTCAGAGGTTTACAACTTCGGTGAAACGCACGAGCACGGGTATTTCTCATCTTTCCTTTCTGTATTTATTTCATCAATTGTAAATAAGCATATACGTACATGTAAATCTATGGGAGAGGGCGTTCTAAGCTGTGATAACTTGTGCCCAATCCTTGTCATGAGAATAAAATACATTTGTTTAAACAAAACCAAATTCCGGATGTATGGAGTATGAAGAAATAGCACTGTGTAAATGTAAAGTTCTTCACAGTTGTCCGGGATAAAGCAATCTCATTAAAATCAAACCCAAGTTCTCCCTGCCGCTTAACAAAGATCTGAGGACATCCCATTACGGATCACATCAGAACGACCTTTCCCGAAATTTGACCGACCAGTGAAACGACAAACAAGAAGTCGACATCAGCCAATTAGAATGCAGCTTTCTCGAGCTTTACGGGAACCTGGAGGCTTCCATTTCAGACTACGCTTGAAAAAAACGGTTGACCCAGTTCTCGATTAAAATTTTGAAAACTGAAGAAAATGAACATTCCGGAATGTCTAATATACTGATGGCTTAATTTGACATACTGACTTCAGAAAATGCGTGATTTCATAAAATAAACATGAACATGCCAAAATGTCAATTTACAAATCAATAGAGTGTGTGTCCACCTCTGGTTGCGATGCAAGCAACACATCTTCATCTCATGGAATGGACCAGGCGTCGCACAAAGTCCTGTGGGATATCTGTCCATATCTGCTGGAGCATGTTTCGAAGTTCCTGGAGTGTCTGTGGAACACGTGGTTGACGTCGAAGGCGCCGATCCATCTCATACCACATGTGCTCGATTGGTGAGAGATCAGGGGAGCGAGCCGGCCAGGGGATGACATTCACGTTGTTTTGTTGAGGGGAATCCAGAACAAGTCGAGCAATATGAGGCCGGGCGTTGTCATGTTGAACGGTAATGCCTGGGCCATGACGACGCAAAAACGGTAGAACAACAGGGCCGATGATCTCGTCGCGGTTGCGCTGTCCATTGAGATTTCCCTCTACCACTATCAAACGGGTCCTCTGTCTTGCTGTAATCCCACCCCATACCATAACGCTGCCGCCCCCGAACCGATCTTCTTCACCTCGACGTCGGTAGACTCGAATCCGTCCATCGCTGTGGCTGAGGTGAAAACGAGACTCGTCAGTGAATAGAACTTGTCCCCACTGCATGGCCGTCCAGCGGGGCCGTTGTCTGCACCACTGTAGACGTGCTTGACGGTGGTTTCCTGTCAATTCTTGCAGTCGCTGTTGCTGGCTGGAATCGATTTTGTAGGTGTGTTGTTCGAATCCAGTTGTCTTGCCGATTATTGGTTACGCGTGGCTTGTCACCCCGAGGATGGTCTCTGACTGCATTCGTCTGTTGCCAACGTTGCCATAAACACCAAATGGTGTTTCTGTGGACGTTAAATTGTCTTGCAGCATCACGTTGACTCGATCCTGCTTCAAGCATACCAATGGCTCGCAGACGCTCATTTTCGGACAGGCGTGGTATTTCGTAATGTTGAATAATTGCGTAATTTTGTTGTTTTTCTGAGTGGTTGTTGTCAGCACGATGCTAAACAATGCATATGGAATCCCTTGGGGAGGGAAATGCATGGGGCTTGCATAAAAGTCAAATTCTTTGTTTAGCGACAAGAACTAAGATCTTATTTTAATGAGATTGTGGAGAATGCTGCATCAGTGCACAGCTAGCCCCCAAAGTTTGAAAGGGCTCATGCTCGCTGAATGCGACACAATCGGCAGGCCAACACAGTCAAGATGCCAACCAAATGATAGAAAGCACAGACGTCAAGACTTTTTTACAAAGTACAAATAAGCGGCCGACATTTCACAACAAAGAGGTGAATGAAAAAATGAAAAATAATACACTCTTCAAAAAAAAGAAACCTCCGAAATAGGTGTTTTGAGAATTCTAATTAGATTTTTTCCCCCAGCAATCGTCATAAAGACAATTCTTATGTTGGATTCCCGTTAATCATGTCATGTTTGTTGTGCATTGCGCACAAACACATTTCAAAATGCTCTTTATAAACGTTTATCAGCAAAAATGCAAAGGATGCACGGAAATTGCTTTCAGAAGAAGTTTTCAGCACAATGCACGTGCAAAGTGTTGGAAACAAGAACAGAGACACTGACTATAAAAGACCGTACAAAATTCATCAGTTCATTACGAATTTTCTGACGTGAACGGAGATCGAAAAATGCCAAGATCAACTGCAGCTGACCGAAATATCGCCATTGGAAGTTTGGAAGCAGGGGAGTCCCAGTCTGCCGTTGCAAGACACTTCAACGTTCACCAAAGCACCATATCTCGACTATGGGATCGATATACCCGCACTAATTCGACTCAAGATCATCCCAGAAGTGGAAGACAAAGAGTGACCACCCCTGCTCATGATCGGTACATCCGCTTGCATCCCCTTTGGAATCGATGTGCTACAGCAACGGACACTGCAGAACAAGTGCCTGGTATGCGAAGAATTTCCGACCAAACCATCAGAAATCGTCTGAGGGAAGTGGGAATTCGAGCGAGACGACCAATAGTTGGACCTGTCTTGCGACGTCTACACCGTCAACAACGTGTACGGTGGTGCAGCAGAGTTCAGGCATGGGATCTCAGGAAATGGCGACGCGTTTGGTTCAGCGATGAGTCACGTTTTCTTCTTCAACGACGGGATGGAACACAACGCGCATACCGACGTCGACATGAACGTTTTGCGCCGAACTGCGTTCGACAGGTGGACCGATTTGGTGGAGTGAATGTCATGGTGTGGGGAGCCATATCCTACACGGGTAGATCACAGTTAGTGGTTGTCCAGGGCAATCTTACAGCAAACCGATACATAGACCACATTCTGCGTCCTCACAACTTTGGACCGCCAGAGGGAGCTGTTCCAACATGACAACGCTCGGCCCCCCACAGCACGTGTAACAGTTAATTTCCTTGTTAATGAGAACATCAATGTCTTTCCATGGCCGTCCAACCCGATTGAACATTTGTGGGACGAACTTGATCGACGCGTCCGTCAACGTCTCCAGCGTCTCCACACACTGGCACAACTCGCCAACGCCTTACAGGGGGAATGGCGAAGAATTCCCCACAAAAAACAATCCGACGACTTGTGCAATCTGTGCCAAGGAGGTGTCGAGCAGTGACGGCTGCAAGAGGTGGTGTGACCAGGTACTGACCATAACGCCCCCTTGTGGCTACACATGTGCAATGACTGAACTGAATTAATGTTGCCAATGATGACAATGCTTTTGTCGATCACTGTGTCTAATTTCATTTGATTGTGTTCACGCATATTCTGTGTAGATAATTTTACATCCGCTTAATAAATATCCTTATTTTTTAACTATACGTTTCTTTTTTTGAAGAGTGTAATATCCACATTCTTGCACACTCTGATACAAATAAAAGAAATAATAGCTTAATTGTCAGTATGCCTGACTATTTCCGCTCTGGTAAGGCACATTTAACTGATAAATGACTGGTCATTTAATTATATTATTATATAAATGACCAGTCTCTAAAGCACGTTTAAGCTGAAAATGGCAATTTCTTTTACTGAAGATAACCATCACTGCGAATTTAAATTTCGCCCATGACAAACGAGCGCATGGCCTCTGGGGCAGCTGAATCAAAGCCCACGACATCCATCATCCCAGGATCATCCGGGTCTGCTATTGTGAACTCATTGCTGGCCATTCCGCAGACGATCAGACGAGCATCCCACAATCCACTCCACTTCCGGTACTGGCGTAGAGCTTCAGACGGATGAACGTTTCTGATCCAAGTCTCACTATCCGTGTACACCACAAACACATCAAACATCTTCTTTTCTTTTTTGGCCCAGACCATCGGCAGCGCACAGTCAGTCCCTCCGAAATTCACGTCATTTATTCTGCCTGTCACTGTGTCTAAATCATCTGTATGTCCAATGTCAAGGGGGGTTAACTTATCACAGAAAGCAACAACAGTGGACTTGTCTGGCTCTTCAGTCCGCTTCGTGACCATCATCATGGCGGCAGCAGCACTCCTGCACGAGACTGACGGTGTACCAATCACTGAGCTGTCCATCGAGCCACTCACATCCACTGCTAGAAGATAACGCTTGTTCGTTGGCAATACATGTTTGAAGGACATGTAGAAAGCATCATCCAAAGCTTTTACGATACGATCAGATTTTGTCCAAGTTAGTTTGCCCTTCTCTCCACAGCCTGCTGAGTAGGTCTTCAGCGCCACCAACACATTGAACGGGTGGATCCGGGCTTGTTTCAGGGAGTCTCGGTCTGTCAGTTTCTGAACCACCAGATCTTCCTCGGAACATCCGGCTGTTAGAACGTCGATTGAGGTCATCTTACCAAGGTTCCGAATCATGGCTGTCATTGGCATTTTCTGAAGCAGTTCTTTCCAAATAGTAGTAGACGACAGCAGCGATGTGGGGATGTGCTCCCGTACAAGTCCATGTTGCCGAATCAGCTCCACCATCTTGTTTTCCTCCTTACACGATTTGGCCTCCTCCACAACAGCCAGAAACTGCAGGACCTTCCTTACAGCTGAAGATTCCAGTTCCGGTTTGTCGTACATTTGTTTGGCATCCGCCAGTCCTTTGACGGCATACCTCAGGACGACACCGATGGCCTCGTTGGCGGGTTTGGTGTGTGATAGTCGCAAGACATCCCGGTGCGACCAGTCCTTCCTCTGTCGATATTTCGTGACTTGCATGGCTAGCTTGACAGGGTCGTCACTGAACTTGTTGTACCAGGCCGAAATGGCGTTTCTGTGCGCCCGTCCCCATCCTGTGGTCTTCCCCTGACTCTCACACCGTTCAATAAACTCGAACAGGAATGTCGGAATTCGGCAGATGTCACCCAGAGCTTTGTAGGCTTCCTGTTTGGTGGTTAAATCAGTGCTTCTACAGCAGACAGCAAGAGCACGTAGGATGGATGTCTGTTTGGCTGTGCGTCCCTCCAGACTAAACTGTTTGATGGTTTTGACCACATCCACTCCCTTTCCCTCACTGATGAGATTCACAATACACCCCACATAGTATTGTGTCAACGCCTTCTGTGAGATGTAGTACGTGCCTCCTTCTGAACCCAGGCACAGGAAGCGCTTGAGGCGGGTGATGTCGTCCACCTTCCACCCGAATCCCCCTGCGTTGTTTCTCACCTGGTCGGCAGATATAGGAGCGCTCTGTGGAACAGTGTCAGGTAATGTGGTATGGATATCCATGATGATGTTACCACATCTACTTACAGTGTCTCACCTGTAAATGAAGAAATTCACTATTATATCTCTGTCTCTACTTAGCCTACCCAAAGTTCATCAGTCTGATCAAGGATCGAATTTCATGTCAGGGTTGTTTTAGGTCATGTATGAGTTGGCGATTAGACAAATCAAATCTAGTGCTTATCACCCAAACTCACAAGGTGCCTGAGAGAGATTTCATCGGACACTTAAAACTATCATCAGGATTTACTGCTTTAGAACTGAGGAGTGGGATGATTCGTTGTTTGCAGCTAGGGAGTCAGTTCAGGAAGTAGGGTTCAGTCCCTTTGCGTTAGTCTTTGGTCTCATGGTTAGAGAATCACTAAGCTATTTAAAAGAACAGCGGCTTAAATGTCAATCAGATTAAATTTACAAGACTATGTGTATACTTTATGACTTCTGAAGGCTAGAGCATTTGCCAGAATGCATTTTGGAAATTGAGGCCAACCATCATAAAACTTCCAAAGGTTGACATTTCAGTCCTAGCAATGTCCTTTTGTGTTATTGCCCATCCCCGGTCAACCTTTGAGTGAGTGAGTTGGGTTTAACGCCGCTTTTAACATTATTCCAGTTATATCACGACGTGTCAGTTTAATGTGACAGGAAAGCCCGAAATGATGCAGGTCTAAGACGTTTACCACTTCGGTGAAACCCACGAGCACGGGTATGGTGCTGACAAAACTAGAAACATAATTGGGGCGAACCGGGATTCGAACCCACAATCATAGGTTTCTGGAGTGTCCAAGGGACGCAACTCTGCATACCGAATCGCGGCGCCTTAGACGACTGGGCCACCGGTGCCCCCGTCAACCTTTGAGAGCTAGATACCTTTATATGTAATGGTTGCTAAGAAAGTCCGTGAAACTGACTTCACTGTCCAAACTCAAGGCTTGGGAAAACAAAAACGGTTGTGTCGTTTGAATATGATAAAGGAATATTATGACAGGTCTGAACATGAGCCACCAAACGTCATTGCTACTGTCTCATCTATTGAATCTGTATCGATAAGTGCAATTCAGAGTTTACCAGAGAGCATGTGATGATTTGGCTGAGAAGGCTGGCCCTAGGCTTAACCATTCTCAGGTGTTCAGCAATCCTGATGTAAAATCAGATCCCCTTACTTCAGAACAACAGAGTGAGTGAGTGAGTTAAAATTTAACGTCACATCGGCAATATTTCAACTGAGACAGTTGTCAGATTAAATTCACGATTTTGGGCGTTCATGCTATTTATCTAAAGGGATAAATTGTACCAGAAAATGCTTGAAAAAACTAATCATGCTTCAGACTGTTTTAAAAACGGCATTGTCTGCTAAAAAAATACATTGTTGCTAGGTGTTTTATTAAAAAGATTATTTAAGCTTACAGTTCTAAGTAAACAAGCTCTTGGTTTTGCAGCCATTAGTGAAATAATATGTCGTCACAAAATCCCAAAATTTGCTTCTCCTGCACTAAATAAACTTCATCAGTACAAGGTTATGCCATAATGGTTAAAAGAATGCACAGACTAGCTTTCAACGCCTCATTAAAGGTCACAGGTCTCTGCTTAGTTTTCCGACAGTTGACTCAACTGATGTTTTTTTGTGTTAATCAGTTAATAAGAAAATATTTCACTTTCACCCAATTCCTTCCCTGTAAGGCTTAGAACTTACAAATCAACCCCCTTACTAGTCAGTCAAGGTCAGGTACAACTCGTCAATGCAAAAGTAGTGGCCCCTCTCACGACTAATTTGTTGGCCAAGGACAAAATTTCGTTGGGATAACCACTGCCATGCAGCTTTTGTAAGAGTAAATTCTGTACTCAGGAATTCTCCTGTCTTGAAAAGCCCCAATCTTGAGAAAAATTTGAATCTGGCAATTGATCACACATTTCAAAGAAACTTGCCAAGCACAAGACAAAAAGTAATACATGACAGAATAAGAAACGCATCCATTGATTTTGTCGTTGCAACATTTTGAGGTGCATTTGGAAAGAACAGGGTATCCTGTTGGAAGCGGTCACTGACCACAAACAGCTGAGATTGAAGAGGTGGAGTTTATCTTTGCAAGAGTCCAGTCTTGAACCCCAGCACTTCAATACAAGGACAAAGAGTGAGTGAGTGAGTATGGTTAAACGCCACTTTTAGCAAATTTCCAGCGATATCACGGCGGGGGACACCTTAAATGGGCTTCACACATTGTACCCATGTCGGGAATCGAACCCCGGTCTTCGGCGTGACGAGCGAACGCTTTAACCACTAGGCTACCTGACCGCCCCTACAAGGACAATGCCAATGTAAGAGTGGTATGTGGAAGAAATATCTGTGGCAGTAGAAACTGTAGTGAGTATGGTTTTACGCCATTTTCGGCAATATTCCAGCAACAATACGACATTGGGACACCGGAAGTTGGATTTGCACGTCGTACCCATGTGGGGATGCAAACCAGCGCCTTCAGCCTGAATGGTTTGTTTGTTGTTTAACGCCGCACTCAGCAATATTCCAGCTATATGACGGCGGTCTGTAAATAATCGAGTCTGGACCAGACAATCCTGTGATTAATATCATGAGCATCGATCCACGCAATTGGGATCGATGACATGCATCAACCAAGTCAGCGAGCATGACCACCCGATCCCGTTAGTCGCCTTTTACGACAAGCATAGTCACCTTTTACGGCAAGCATGGGTTGCTGAAGACCTATTCTACATCCGATATTCACGGGTCTGAATGGTGAAAACTTTAATCACGACGCTACTAGGGCTCGGACGGGTAACTCGGGTACCCGGATCGGGTGGTTCCTGCGTAGGACCCGGATACCCACAGGACTACCCGGACCCGTGGTTAGTCACGTGATATATTGTTCAATGGCAAAAATTATCTAGAACTTCCAAGGTTACACTATCAGTGACTAATGTTCGCATTTCCTTCTGACTATGCACGCAAACCCTCTGACTTTATATGTTTGAACAGAGATAAAACTTCAGTCAACTTCAGTGAATGCATGACCAGATCGTTTTATGCAGTATCTAAATACATTTTGCCACGACTACGGTCAAACTATTCCCAATCGGACATTTGTACCTATTTCTTGAGACCCACAGCGGGTAACCGGGAAGGGTCGGGTAATAGGGGGGTGGGTACCTGGGTAGTAAATTTGGACTCGTTCCAGCCATATAGGCTACCCACACCGCACACGAAACGGAAGTACATGTATTGGTAGTGATTGTGATCAGTGGCAGCAAACGATTGAAGGGCCAGTTAAATGTAGGGTACTGGTGGCGGCAGGAAGTGATTAGAGTTACCTGCCCCTTGTTGTTGGAACCAGACATTGCAAGCTTGGTCGTTCAAGAAGATTCGGAATGAGAGAGTTTCCAGAAGGCTGTCTGTACCTATTTAAGAGCGACGTTTTCGGCCTGACTTGTGTATTAAATACTTGCCAAGTGAAGACCGGATACCTACCTCAAAACACCTCTCATTCGCGACGGCACGGTCGTTAGATATAGGACCTGCGACGACACGGTCGTTAGATATAGGGCCTGCGACGACACGGTCGTTAGTTATAGGGCCTGCGACGACACGGTCGTTAGTTATAGGGCCTGCGACGACACGGTCGTTAGTAATAGGGCCTGCGACGGCACGGTCGTTAGATATAGGGCCTGCGACAACACGGTCGTTAGTTATAGGCACGGTCGTTAGTTATAGGGCCTGCGACGACACGGTCGTTAGATATAGGGCCTGCGACAACACGGTCGTTAGAAATAGGGCCTGCGACGACACGGTCGTTAGATATAGGGCCTGCGACAACACGGTCGTTAGTTATAGGGCCTGCGACGACACGGTCGTTAGTAATAGGGCCTGCGACGGCACGGTCGTTAGATATAGGGCCTGCGACGGCACGGTCGTTAGATATAGGGCCTGCGACGACACGGTCGTTAGTAATAGGGCCTGGGACGACACGGTCGTTAGTTATAGGGCCTGCGACGGCACGGGCGTTAGTTATAGGCACGGTCGTTAGTTATAGGGCCTGCAACGGCACGGTCGTTAGTTATAGGCACGGTCGTTAGTTATAGGGCCTGCGACGGCACGGTCGTTAGTTATAGGGCCTGCGACGGCACGGTCGTTAGTTACAGGGCCTGCGACGGCACGGTCGTTAGTTATAGGGCCTGCCACTTGTTGCTCCTGAACGTATTTGACTTGCACTTTTTCGTGTATTTTCTTTTTATTGTAACCTAAAACTGTGTTCCAAAATAATTGATGAACTATTCATTGATTTATGTGGCCATTTACTGATTTCACAATTACATTTTCTTCGAAGCGGTTTCTGAGTTAACCTCTACGTTTCAATACCTGTTTCATTACATTGTACAGACGTATGTAAATATAGTCGGCAGAGCTCCAGATAAGCTTTTGGTGTTGTGGGTATTTTACCCATGCATTTTAAAATCATTGGGTATCAGTAATTCTATCTGGGTATTCAAATTTCTGTTACCCACTTGTTTTTACACATGTGGGTATTTAAGTTAAATATTTAAAAACACTATTCATCTAGTCCCTGCAAACTGGTGTCCTGTGGGTTCTAGAGCTTTATGGGACTCAAAAATACCACGATACTTCCACAAGAAAGTGTGATTGCAAATAATCATGATGTAACTGTCATCGTGGAGTTTGGCAAGGTTGACGGAATGCCCGTTTATAATTTCAAAATAAGTTGCTGATTTGCTAATCGAATACGCAGGGTAACTTAACACTATTTTGATGAAACGCACAAGTTTTATTTTTGTAGCGTATCTATAATATTCCTTGCGTATTTGATACGCTTGGATTTTATTTTACTGCGTATTTCTGTAGTTTTTATGCGTATTTCACGCAGATACGCAGCTTATCTGGAGCTCTGTAGTTGTCACAGCTAAGATCTCTTTTCCCGACATTTTCTAGTTGGGATCCAGGTATGCATTTGTGTTACATTTTATACACGCTTCTTTTCATTCAGAAGCGTGAGTGAGTATGGTTTAAGCCACTTTTTGCAATATTCCAGCAAAATCACAGCGGGGACACCAGAAATGGGCTTCCCACAATTGGCGTGACGAGAACCTGGTTACCCCACAGCCCCCATTAAGAACAAATGATGCATCTGTTGTGGCGTTTTCAACAGATCCATACTCACAATTCACATCAAAGGAATATTTAAAATGGGACCATTTCCGGCACTGCTGCAATGATACAGGAATAACCAACGTCGAGCTTGGCAGTGCTGCTCTAACACTATGACGTCTTAAGGTTGGCATGCCCGTTATGATAATGTGAATGTGCACTTATTTGCATTGTCGATCATATTACCTGACGATATCAACATTCGCTGTACATTCACGAACAAGGTCAACGTTACTGATAATAAATCCCAACAGGCTAGTACGTATCACACTTAGCTTGAAGCCAACTCAGTGTATGCCCGTTAACTGTGTCGGACAGATACCTGCGTGAATGTGTTTCTCCAAGTAAACAAGGATATTGATTCAAGGCCGTTTATAGAAATGAGCATACATTAATCAAATACACGAGTCCAATCATGTTTTCAAGACACGCATCAGTGAACAAAGAATACATTAACACATATTATCATATATTATAGGTTAATGGAACGATGTGATATACATGGTTGATTAACATTATGCAGGAACAATGCGGTCAGAGTGACCTGTACGAGCGTCTCGCCTGTTTGAAGTGTCGTGTGTCTCAGTGTAGGGCTTCACGTACAGTGTCCGGACAAGCTGCTGTCTTGGTCCAAAAGGCAAATCTCGAAGTACAGTTCGACCCAAGCGAAGATCTCCCAAGTTCAACACTAGACGCCACGTTACGTATCTCTCAAGTGCAACCTATTATCACACTGCCCTTTGTTCCGCTATCGATATCGTTAACAGAGAACGATATGCTCGGCTCCAATACCGATACCTACTTCTCCGTCGTTATGGCATATTTATGACAACAATATCATTGTGGGAAGCAATATATTATATTTTACAACCAAAGCAAACGTTAAGATTTTCCACTGTTATTTGCATATTTTGAAGTAAAGTTAAACTACATTGTTCCAGTATAATGATTTCAGTTGTTTTTCCCCTACTTCCGTGTTGTGTTCCCCAAGAACTTGTTATAATCGAGGCAATAAAGATATTCATTCACGAAAATATTTCAGTAATACTCTGAGCTAATATAATGAATTCTTTATTGTTATTATATAGCCAAGTGTAATGTAATATAAAAAAACGGCCCGACGCAGTAGAATATCAACCTAGCAAACAAATATTTATTTCGGTATAGCTAGGTAACTGCAAGCACAATCCAGAGAACGCTCCTCGTAAACTGGTTTCACTGTTAGTACGCTTCGCAATCTTTTGCGCTTTTAATTGTTTAGGTAGACAGACGCCGCGTCAAAGCTCCTCGCAGAGACAGTTTAAAACAAACTGGTTCTCGTTCGTTACTGCGATGGACTGGCATTAGACTCCTGTCTACCCAAAATAAATGTGTGCGTGTGTGTGTGTGTGTGTGTGTGTGTGTGTGTGTGTGTGTGTGTTCATTGCAATTCCTGCAATCTGGCTGAATGGCGGATTATTTTCACTATCATGGATCCGGAATGTCGGAAAATCCCAATGAAAGTTGAGGGAATTATGCCTTCGCCCTGCTTCCACTTCCACTTCCACTGTCCTATCGCTACAATTACTGTAATCCCTAAGATCGCGATCTTTGGCTTCCGCAACAATCGCCAACCACGTGCACAAACCAATTGTAGACACAGATCATTGACAAAATGGCGTGCAAGAAAGGATCTGTTTCCAATATATAATCAGGTAAAGAAAGTGACCGTTACAGGAGTCGTTACATGTTGTAGTTCGCTTTCCCACGCCTCGCCTTCAATAACCTGTCTCAAATGGTAAGTATATAATTCACATGACCTTTTCTAAGGTGTTATCTTTAATACAAACGTGCACAGTAGACTTTAAACTTAGTCATCGGTTTAGTTAATAAACCATGGAATAAGTTTCACATTCTAACTGCAACTTTACTGAATACCTAATAAGGATCAATGTTAACTCTGTTAATTTCTGCTTTAGTTTACTGTAAGAGTTCAAAGAATGACTTAAGTAAGGGACCTACCATTTGGTATTCTGGGGTGGGGTGCTGGGATTGTAGCGTAAATAATTAATTGTGCTAAAACATTCTTGACAAAAATTATTATGCTTCAGAGTGTTGAAAATACAGAACTTGTCTGCCACAAATAATACATTGTTGCAAAGTGTATTCCTTTAAGGAATATCCATACCTTAAAACAATATGTGGTTTTACAGCTGAAACATCAAATCACCACTCCCTATAATTTTTTTATTCGGTACATATAACAGTATTTTTACTATTACTATTACATTTGCAGTAATGTCGGCAGCTGAGACGCATTAGTATATGAATGCTTTTGAAAACGGATCACAGAACAAACCTTTCCAGTCTTCAACAATCTAGAAAATAAATTCTGACAATTATTGCCTTGCCGTTTGAAAGCACGTAGGTTTTGCGGCGCAGTGTTTTTCGATCAAATGTACGAAGTTGCCAAGTGTGCTTCGTGTCTTGCATTGACCGGCAGAACTTGCTATTGATGTTTGTTTATACTAGGATTGAGCAGGTTGAACTTCCTGTGTATCCTAGCAGTGTGTATGCCCCATGAAATGGAAACAATTTTAGGTCAAAGTTTGACCACCCAGCACTAGAACATTTCTCTTATATTTCGGCGGCCATTCTGAACACGACCGGCCATTTCTGCTGAAAAGAGACTCTTCTTTGCGGTCACGGACAACTTTCCAGGATCAAAACTATAAACATTTATAGTAAATTTATGCAGTATCCTCTGGCCTCAGCTCTGATGCGCACGTAAAATCACTGCATCTCTGGTCATGTTTTAAATTTCTTCCCGTGTTGTACGCGGCACTGATGACTTGTTCTTTGGTATTTTCTATCGAATCGCTATACGGGCGGTGAAGTTATCATTACGATTTCTGGTCTTTCAGAGATTGTTCCCCGCTGTTTCTACCTACATTTCTGGTAATTTAAGTATGACACTTACGTTATTAGGGAGTATACTGTAGCGATATCAACTTTCCATTCACAAACCCACGATAAATAGTTTTTACAAATCTTAAGAAAATACGAGGGTAATCGGCCCCCACAACCTGCATAGTACTTACCAGAGCTACAGATAAGCAGCGTATTTGCGTAAAATCCCCCCCCCCCCCCCCCCCCCCCGAAAATATTAAAAACCAAATTACTTTCAACGTAAAGGAGCTAATTTCCGAGACACAATAACGAGCTAATTTACTTTCCGAGTCAAGCCTATATATTTAGAACAGTTATATACATCGAAAATATTATTTCATTATTTTTTTTAAATCTTAAAATGTTCACTAATTTGGGGGAAAACCCCAGTAGAGTGCTGAATGGATGAGTGAAAAAATATTGGTTACCCAATGAAAAATGTAATAACCCATTTAACTTAGGCGCGTATTTATGAATGAAATGTTTCTCTTTTTGAAACAATGTAGGTTCATGATCAAAATTTAGCTTATATAGCGGGAAAACTAAAAAGTTTCCGTTTCCACATGCTTCTAAATGTTCACTGAGTGGAATCGTGCGGTCGTGTGGCTGCTTTATTTGTAAACGGTGAAGATTCATTCTTCTTTTTAATTTAAGTTTCTGAATCCTAGCAATCATTCACCTGATGAAGGAGTAAGCATATATTCCAAAACTTTGTGTTCCTCATAATAAGAAAGTTGACATCCATAAATTCTCTCCAATGTGTTTCAGTTCAAAATGCCTTTTAAAGACTAGATATTAGAGTTATCTGCCTTGGCTTAAACCAGGGGGCGTTGTACCCGGAAGCAGCTGAGAGAAACCCACGTTGACATCAACATATGGAAACAGCAGTGTTTCTCAACTGACTTGAAAGCTGATTATGGGGTCTGCTTTCATTATTCTTGGTAAGTTGACTGATTATCAAGGTCAGATTGAAAATGAGTGTTAGAGTTCACTGATCAGCCAGAGAAAGAGACGGCTAAGACTTCACGAGAGTCGAGTGATCGAGCCGGCTCCACGGAGGTTCGCACGCTTCGACCAATTTGACATTTTATATAAAATAGACATATGTTTGTAATGACACGAAAATGGCATTATTTCCTTGGCTGACTTCTTGTCTCATTCATACCAGAAGTAAATTGTGCTTGCAGATAAATGTCTTGTCTGGGATTGTTTTTGTTTGTTTTGTTTGTTTGTTGTTTAACGCCGCACTCAGCAATATTCCAGCTATATGGCGGCGGTCTGTAAATAATCGAGTCTGGACCAGACAATCCAGCGATGGACATCATGAGCATCGATCCACGCAATTGGGATACGATGACATGCATCAACCAAGTCAGCGAGCCTGACCACCCGATCCCATAAGCATAGTCGCCTTTTATGGCAAGCATGGGTTGCTGAAGACCTATCCTACCCCAGATCTTCACAGGTCTCTCTGGGATTGATGACAAAGTGATGACTTATGAGCGCTCAAGAAATTACACCTTTTCTTTTCTTTTTTTTTCTCACACAGGAACGTCGGTATTAGCCGTGTTATTGGCAGGCTACTGGGCTCAGAGATACTTACCACCACCAAAACCAAAAATAGTTGGAATTGATCTAGGTAAGATTTAGTGATCTCATGAACTGGAATTGATCAGATTATCTGATATTGATAATGTTGGACCTTGTATACATCTGCCTGTCTTTGTGGACATTCAGATCAATGTTTATATCAATGGGCTTCTTATGGACATAAATTCAAGATATTTTGAACCTGTTGAATGGCAAGTTAATGTCTTAAAGGGAAACAACACTCCAATTGTCAGTCCTCTTGTCGGCACTGTTTTAATTATCCCACATATTTGCCAGAATTAGCATGAGTGACCCTACAAACTTGGCTTTGGACCACGAGGGGGCAATTGGGGGACTTCATTGACAGAAAAGGGGAAATCCCCTTGAATCCTCGCATTTGATTAGATATGATGCTTTAAATAACCTTTCACTTTGCAAAATCTGTCTGCTTGTGCAAATGTGTATGTACAATTATGTAGTCAAGTATAAACACCTGTGTATTTGTCATCATTTACTCGATGCTTAGTCAGTGACTTCATCACAGGTATAATTAGTGGTAGAACCACTCAGATTACCTGACAAAGAATATGCAAAATAACTCAATAACGTTCACCCCTGCCTCCAACATTGTCAAGAATAGCTAGCAATCGGTGTGTTGCATTTGGCATTTCTTGTGTCTGGGGTAATTATTCAATCAAAGATTGGGTTATAAATCCAGTTCTGATGTGGTGAGTGTATTACATGTTATGTAATATGGTCTGTAGAGTTGCTAAGAAATCATTTATCAATAGATTAACCGATAACACATTGTTTTTTTAATCACTGTTATCATGCACAGTGGATTTGTCAAAAGTAAGTTTTGATATGTGTAGGTTTACTAAAGCAGACGGAATACACATAGGCAAGTCACTGGACCGTACAAGTTAATCTCCCCAGCCTGCTGGCAAAGTGAGAGTAAACCACCCATATCTGGGTGTAAAGTGCCTCTGTAAAAGCAACATTCTTTGTTCAAAGGATTAGCTGATAGAACATTGATTGATTGCTCATTATTGTCTAACTCAATGGATTTTTTAATGAACCATGGTGATAATGGACATTGTTGTCACATGTGTTATCTTAGCTGACCAATGAGACATATGACAGACAGGCAGACAGACAGATAATTTATTTAAGTCTCACCTCACAAGTACAGGGTAAAAATATGCTATACAAAATACAATAAAAAGTGAGCCACCCTTTAAGGGTTACGAAAGACTATATATGAACTAAAAATATACACAAAACATAAAACTATATACACTTAAAAGGTTATCACTAAAAAAACAAGAAAGTATACCATTGAAATATCATAAAATATACACAAAATAAAACCATTACCGAATACAATATAAAACTTGTTTCCGCTTCTGTATTAAAAGTTTGCAGGTTTTGGCGGAATGAAAAACAACATCCAGATGGGCTAAGATGAAACTAACTTTCTGTACATCTGTAAAATCATTAAAAGTACAACATTATCCACACATTTACTTAAGAGAGTAAAACGTATATCATTATAAAGGGGACAGTGTAGTAAAATATGGATTTCTTTCTTACAGTAAAAACACGTTTTCTCCTCCACCGGTGTATTTGTGTATCGTCCAGTCTCTATGTGACACCTATGTGAAGCACCTGAAACAAACTTACGTGATCAGTTGAGAGATGAAGATTGGTTATGATATCTTGAAACAGTATATATACCTTAAAATATTACATTGTTACAAAGACACAAGACATTGAACAAGTTCCTTTATACAGCTGCAGATGTATGGAATATTGTTCCCTTATGTCAAACAAGGTAACGGCCTAATATTATACATAGAACGTTTGTCGGTTGTAATTTCGATACTTGCAGTTCGTGTTCATTCATTTGCTGTAGCAAGTACACAGGAGGCCTCAACAGCAACTGACCACATTGTTCCATATGTAACAAATATCCAGAAATAGAATAAGTTGTTCCAAACTGCTATGCTTGTGGTTATTATTATTTTATGTACATATAGTAACAGTTGCAACTAAAATAACTTGATATTGGAATATATTATTTCTGACAATATAATAGTTTCAGATACAATTCATCCAATCACAGCATGAAAATTCTTTGAAGTTATTTTATTTGGTATTTTGTAACTGAATCACCGTGAGATTGGTAGAAATGTGAGACAGTGTGTGCAGCCGATTGCTATTCCCGGCTTAGTTTACAAGAAACTGCACACTGGAATCTTTATTTCTGCATATATAACACATTGCCTTGCAGTAAAGAAAATATAATTAAAATGGTAAATCATTATGTCTAGTGATAATATTTTTATTCATAAGTTTGTTTTCACCTGTTTGTTTATTGGAAGTCTCTGAAGGGATACTGCTGTAGTACTTATTGTACATTATATTTTGTCAACCAATCTCAAGGGACCGTTTGACAACGAATATATCTCTCAAACATTCCTTCATACAGACCTGGAACATATATCCGAGGTTTGACCTTGTAAAATGCTTTGATTCAGCCAATTTGACAGTTAGCAGATGACGCAAACCGAATTGCTTCCTTTCGGTTCATTTCAGGTCTACAATACTTATGCGAGATAAGCATGTTACCTAAGGTATCTTCCAATTGATTTCTCAGCGGGGTATATAAGAAGGCTACATGGAAAATTATTGCCCGCTCCTTAGCCAAACAGAAGCTAGTATTTTAATGTAAGGTGAGATAAGATATGATGTTGACTGATAGCTTCATGCTTTCAAGTTGTGTATGCACGAACCAACAACAAAAACATACATCAGCTTGGCTGCAGCTCTTTATTGTATACCTTTGTTATGATATATCGCTCCTCGTTCTTTGATCCTTCGATAGATGTTACCTTGCCCAGCGCAGCAAGAATAGCGCCGAACAAAAGTCATTCTAGTCAAAAGTGTAGTCCATAATAAGCAAAATTTGAATCTGCGAAGAAAAAGCTCATCCATATTTCAATACTTTCAAACTTGGAGTGTTGTTTCCTTTTAAACGACAGTTTGTCGACGGTTCTGTGTATTTATATCTTTCATCAGATAATTCCTGAGTGTGATGTCACACGTTTAGTTCATGCACAACTCAATTTTCAATTGTCTCGCTTCGGTCATGTTTTCATTAACGGCAAATTGAAGAGAAAGTCGTGATTGTTAGAAAAGTTAAAAAATACCAATTGCCAGCTTTACTGGATTAGAAGCCAGTGCTTATTATGGCCAAGATAACAATGTAAATACCTTGTAAAGCCATGGCATCAATCACCTGCCCACAGTGCCTTGCGACCATCGAGTACCCCTGCCACATCTTACACGATATTGCATGTTTTTCATCTACACATTTAAATAAACATATGTCATTAAATGTTTGACTTTCAATGAGAAAATATCCTGAAACATGAAAAACTATTTCCATTTGCGTAGTTATCCTTTGTTTATATTGGTTGTACAGCTCCCTGAGCTGTCATCGAAGCCCTACAGAGAGCAAGCTATACGGTCACTTTGACAGACAAGCTGTATCATCATGCACCTCACTGTCGCAGTTGTAGTATATTATGCAACACAGTATATTAAGGACACCGAAAGAATTGCATGGGTCCGTCTGTTCTTATTTCAGAATAAGAGCGTTTGTTTACAAACAAGAGAAAAGTTTGTCACATGATAAGCCTACACTTATGCGGTGTGGTCACTGGAGCAGTAACTCCTGTCGCGGAATAAGACGAGCAGAGCCGAGTAAGCTCGGCGGTTATCGTCTTATGTTTACACACACATAATACAAAGCTTGAGAACGGTCTACATACTGGCCCTTTAAAAGCCTATACAAATTGCTAAACATTCCTGTCACTATGGCATCATAGTAGATAAAAGATGTATATCCAGTGAGCTTTGCTGGAAAAGAAAACTTTGAAACCTCTAACTCATCGATAAGTTTTTTAATGTGATAACAGGATTGTGCAAGCAGTCCATTGATACAGCTGGTAGATCCCACATCGAGCTACCATGTCGGTAACACTGTGTCCAAGGTGTCTGGGGAGGGTGTATCAAAGAGTGAGGAAATGTACTCACCGCCAAAAGTAATGCGAACCGTAGAAACATTAGAAAAGTATGTACGTAAAGAAGAGATGTTTCCAATGTGTACCACTTAATGACAAATCTAACAATCAGTCAAGTCTTACCACAGAGTGTCTTTATTCTTAGCACGATATGCTGCACGTGATTTCCAAACTTAAGACGCTAACTCTGCACTAGACAAATAGTGCATGTCAAGTCATGGATCTATGACATCATAAATTATGCTTTCATGAGTGTCGGTTCACACAACAGAACAGTATGTTCGTTTGTGTATCAGACAAATCTAATATCTCTTGAATATGAGTAATTCTTCATATATTGACCAACTTGTATGATATGCGTGTTTCTATTGTCGGTGAGGATAGAAATGGCTACCATGTTAAGAGATGTACTCCACAAGATTCAGGTACAATGGTCGTGAAATAAGTAAGCCGGCCATGTGATTATTGATAACGTCTGCCACCTGTGATTTCCAGGCACGACGTACTCCTGTATCGGGGTGTATCATGCAGTGTCGGGCGCGGTGGACATCCTGCAGGTGCAGAGTGGGAAGAAGTGCATTCCCAGCGTCGTCGCCTTCAGGTATGTCATCACACAACATCTGACGTAAACCGCTTGTCAGTACAGTAAACTACGGTCATAACAAATGCAAAGGGACCACAAGTTTTAGTTTGTTATAACCGTAGTTCGTTAGACTGTCAGACATCTCTGATGAACTCACGTCACCACATCATGTTAGTCGGTAAATAAGAAAAAGTGTGCCTTGGATGTGTATTGTGTTTAGTCCCCTAAATAACATAAAATATATAACATTAGTAAATACATAACATATGTAAAGGCATGTTGTAAACATATTATTAATACAGTTTCATTGACATTTAGACACAAGAGTCACTCGCCATCAGTCTTGAAATCTGGGATTTTATTTGACACATTGGTTGAAAGATGAATCTATTTGAGCGTTGTCACAATGTCATAAATGTTTTCAAACAGTTTTGATGATACACCAGGGTGACTTTAGTCTAGTTACTGTTTTACTATTGTTAATTGAGGGTGTCAATTGAGGACAAGGCATCAGTGCTTAATCCAATTAATTACTTGCCTTCAGTTGTTTATTGCCACTTTGAACATGTTGGACAGCCGCATGTGGCTGCGGATGGTTTGATAGGCTGATTGGTGAGGTGTGGACAGCTCAGAGAGTAACAGTTTGTGATAAACATAAACATTGTCGTTGACAGAGTACACACGGGACCACAAAGTGAGTTGCCTATATCCGTAATTTCGTTATATATGAGTGCGTTGGGTGGAGTCATACCATGCTTATTGAGTGGAGTGTTCAACAAACAAAAAAACACCCAAAAGGAGGAAATGTACATTGACACATTGACAATATCAGCACATGTTTGTTTCAGTGAGGAGGGTGTGGTCGTGGGGTTCAAGGCGGTGGCCCAGGCGGAACACAACCCACAGAACACTCTGTATGATGCCAAGAGGTTCATAGGGAAAGTGTATCGCAAGGAGGAGCTAGAGCAGGCTCAGAAACAATACCCCTTCAAGGTGAGAATGTCACCTCCCTCTTCATCTTCCCGAGGCAAGAGAGTTAACTGACATTAAAAGTCCAGTTTCCACCCTTGCCGAACTAGGCTGGAATTCCTGGGCTCGATCGTAGCGCCAACAGTGGCTATTACGAGTTATATCCTTTCTATGCCTCTCCTATTGACCAATCAGATTCAACCTCTCGTATCACTTGCATTTGCTTCAAACAAAACAGTGTCACCCAGTCAAGACAATCTGATCGATAATCAAGATCTATATTGTGATAAAAAGAGTCTTACATCGCGATGTGCATCAAATCACGTGAGCACCTTGATTAAAAACATGAAAAGATTTAGAAAATATCTGTTGACAACGAGTTAGCGGTGCACATGCTTTGCAAATCCTGCAGTCGACCGAAATCTGCACGACAGTTTACGAACCGGATTTCGATTTTCGGTGCGCGATTTTGATTGGACTATGCATAGACTCGTTAGTCCAGCCAAAATGTAACTCCATAATACCAGCCTAGTTCGGCAAGTGTGGAAACTGGACTTTTATAGTCAGTTAACTCACTTGCCTCGGGAAGATGCTCCCTCTTGTGTTGGGTGGCTAGTGCTTTGTCAACCATCGTCACTACTCCATGGGCTGCTGGTGTCCACTATGTTCCTCCTCAACAGTGAATACACTTAACAGCTCGTGTGTCTATTTTTTGGTCAACTTGAAATGAGGTTGCTTTTACAGGGTTTTACCTTGACTTACAATACTACAAGTTGAGAACCCCCAATAATTATTTTCAAGGGTCCCCACAGGAAATATGACGGTTTTCTGAAGTATTGCAATAGTGTAGTGTACTGTAAGATTTGATAATTACTTAAATTATTTATTGTCAATGGGTGTAATGAATGTTATTGTGCAACCCTTGTGATGTAATACTGTTTTTGTCTGTGTCTGTATACATTTGGGCATACTGCATCATGTAGAACACTGTCTCAAACTTATGGAAGTCAAATGAACCCAATTGTGTGCATGATCTTTGTGTGAACCCAATCACTGCCGATATTGAGGCAGTGTGTAGCGAAGATGGTTGTAAGATTCTTGTAATGGCTGTGCCCACACTGGTGGCAGCGATGTTACCGAGAGTGTAACAAAGGTGTAACATGCTTGGACCTCTGTTATGCAAGGGAGATAATCTGATCGTGACCTCAGTTATACACTCTAGATAACATAGCTGCCACCAGTGTGGGCACGCCAATTACAAGAATCTTGATATTTGCCCTCTAACCCCAAATGTAGAAATGTTATACTTTTCTACTGGTCTACGAATGACCATATTTCCCGGATGAATTTACGTTTTTGTTTGTTTGATCAGATTGGTTCGAGATTGCAGACAAACGTAAAATCAACTTCCCCCTTACATTCTTACTATACCAATTAAATGATAGATGTAATGAAGCAGAAATTCAAATTGACAAACAACGAAAATAATTTAGCAGGGGTAAGAGTATTCAGCGTCACAGCAGTCATCACTTTTTTGTAAACATAACAGTTAGTCAGCTGCGAGTTCAACTCCAAGCGTGGTTGTAGCCACCTATCACAGTAGGGAGCTTTAACTGGTGACAGCGATGGTATTGAGAGCTCAGCGATCAGGATATCGCTGTGAGGTGCTTGGGTGACCTCTTATGCGAGGGAGATAATCTGATGGCGACCTCTGTTATACAAGGGAGTTAATCTGATGGTGACCTCTTTTGCAGCTGGAGGCTGATGAGCTGGGGATGGTGCATTATGTTGTCACGGTGAACGGCACCGAGAAGAAGATCACCCCTCATGACGTGGGCTCTATTATCCTGGATACTCTGCGGCTTGCTGCAGAGGCTAATCTCAGCGCTCCAGTCTCCAAGGCGATACTGTCAGTCCCCGCAGAGTTTGACGCCATGCAGAGAAACTACACCATCAAAGCTGCAGCACTAGCAGGTGAGGCCGGTTCTAGAACAGCACCACATTCCAATTCTCAGTTGCAGGATGGTTGTCCAGTCTTAGAAATTCATTTTTTCAATACTAGTCCAGAGTTTGTAGCTAGTCCTGCTTGAACAAGACGAAAATGTTTCATTTATTTACAACTTCTGTCAGGAATTTTGGCACTTTTCTCTATACGATTGTGACGTGGTATCTTTTGCGTCACAATGAGCGATATGACGTCATAATGGTGACGTGCGATGTAGAGCGAAATGTAGAGCCTTGCAAAACTTGCTTTGTTTTCTTTAGGGATGCCCACCTCATGTTAGCTTACCAAGTTGCCGTGTTTATATGCTTTCAATGCCTGTCATATGTTCGAGTGAAGTATTACGGTGTAAACAAACTGCTTGAGTATATACAACGCCATATTTTGTTAGGTGATTCCGCAATTCAGATCAATAACCCACTCAAAACACTAGACTCAACCCATGCCGCTTCACTCAGTATATTTGCTAACACCAAAGAGTTCACCTTTTATTTAGTCATGGAGATAATGGAATGGAGATAAACAAACTGTCTTTTCAGTGTAGAGCAAGGTTAGCTGTAGGTTTATCTATTAATTGAAGTAGTGTTCAGTCAGCAAGGCTGTTACAGATTTTGTCCCTGGTTGCCAGGTCTGGAGGTGTTCCGTGTGATCAATGAGCCGACGGCAGCAGCTCTCGCCTACGGTCTTCACAAGAAGTCCACCTTGCAGACCATACTGGTGGTGGATCTTGGGGGAGGAACACTGGACGTCTCCCTTCTCAACGTGCAGGGAGGGATGTTCCTCACACAGGCTATGGCAGGTGAGTCCAAGTCTGCAGTAGGGGTGTCAGGGTGGGATGTTCCTCACACAGGCTATGGCAGGTGAGTCCAAGTCTGCAGTAGGGGTGTCAGGGTGTGATGTTCCTCACACATTTTTTGTGGTGGTTAAGTCCAAGTCTGCAGTAGGGGGGCCAGTGTGTGATGTTCCTCACACATTTTTTGTGGTGGTTAAGTCCAAGTCTGCAGTAGGGGGGCCAAGGTGTGATGTTCCTCACACATTTTTTGTGGTGGTTAAGTCCAAGTCTGCAGTAGGGGGGCCAGTGTGTGATGTTTTTCACACATGTTTTAAGTTGTCAATGAGGAAGGAAATTCATCAGGAAAGATGTGCCTAGGATACAATATGTGATTTTAAGCTTTGCAAACCGGTATTAATTCCAGAAATACGTCAGAAATATTGCATTCCCAAGGCCAGAAATAAATGCCAATCAATGACAATAGAGTTGTGGAAATGCTGAACTGGAGACACGGCAGACGTTTTTATTGACTGACGATACACACAATGCTAGTTTCAGTTTCAAAACTTGTCATGCTGGTATCTCAACTTGTTTACTTTACTTTTCATTGTACTACTGACATGTGACAAAAGCTATTCAAATCCTACAGTTCAGATCTTTATCTACGCTTACAAGATTTCTTTCTTGGCATGTCATGGTATGGGATTGTTTTAGGGAATAACCGACTCGGTGGGCAGGACTTCAATCAGCGCCTGCTGCTGTTCCTGAAGGACGCGATCGAGAAGATGTACGGCCAGAAGCTGACCAACAAGGAGGATCTCCAAGCCCTGAGGCTGCAGGTAGAACAGGCCAAGCTGGACCTCACCTACAAACAGACGGTCGACATCGTCATCACGCTACACTCCCTGGGAAACAAAGTGTTCAAGGAAGCTATCCCACGGACGTTGTTTGAAAAATTGAATGATGATTTATTCAACAAAGTTTTAGAACCTATTGACAGGGTGTTACAAGCTGTCCAGCTTACCCGGGATGAAGTGGATGAGATTGTGTTGGTTGGCGGGTCGACACGGATACCAAAAGTTAGAGAATTGATACGGGATTATTTTAGAAAACAGCCGAACACGGCAATTGACCCTGAACTGGCTGTGGCTACTGGAGTGTCCATCCAGGCGGGCATCATAGGAGGAATGTGGCCACTGACGGTCAGCGCCGTGGAATTGCCTACGAGGGTCAGGAAGATACAGATTCACTGATGACGGGAGTGTCTAGGAGAGTATAGGATAAATGCAGCCCATGCTGTTATTTTGTGGATAATTTATGGTACCTTAAGTAATAAAACAATTTTAGATTTTTAAAAAACCTCGGCTGATGAGTTTTCAAATTCCTAATTCTGACATACTGTGTGATATGGATGTGTATGTGATAACTTCAAATATAAATATAATTTATGTTTTTAGATAGAATAGGGTCATGAGTTTTCATGAGCTGTGAAAGTGGTGGGGTGATGTTTGTTCAATCAAAATGTCAATCTTTAACTGTCATTGATATATGTATATGATGAAGAACCGTTGCTCAATAGCAGAATTCAACATAAGTTTGTCAATAGTGTTGAAACTTAATTGTTATTTGGATATTAGTGATGCATATTTCCTAATAATAGGGGGGGTTAAAGCTTTCGCTCGTCAAGCCGAAGACCCGGGTTTTATTCCCCACATGGGTACAATGTATGAAGCCCATTTCTGGTGTCCCCCGCTGTGATGTTGCTGGATTATTGCTAAAAGCAGAGTAAAACCATACTCACTCACTCTTAATTATAATATTTGAGTACAATGTTAGTCTTTGAATTCAGGAAGTATAATTCACATATGCGAGTGTAAACCTGGACTAGTTTGAACCAAACTGACAAGGGGCTTTTGTGTACTTTGAAGTATACTGCTCTGCTTTTGACAGGGATATTGAGATATTGTAAACTATTTTCATATTATATTTATTAATAATTTGTTGGTGCATCATACAGTGTCATAGTAAAATAGGAATATCCCTATCTAAAGTTGAGCTGTATGGTTTACACTCGTGTCAATCTTGTTCTGCTTGTACAGTATTGTTATGGGAAAAATTAATTACCATGGTAACCAATCAGCATTGTTTCAAGCCCTGATGGACCAGTGTGATGACGATGTGCCTCACATGAAGGTGTTTTATTGCTCTTCTTGACAAAAATGAAACTTGACAACAACTAATGTTCCAATGTTCTAGAATTATGAGAGCCAATTGTATTCTGGGCGTCCTAACAGTTTGTACAATAGTTGATGTTTGTTAAAGTGTATGATAACTGGCGTAGAATGCGTTCTCAGCACCCGTTGCCTGCAAAAGGTAACTAAATGGGGAATTCATGGAGAATTCATGGGAGTTCAAGGGGATTCTGGGGTAGAATTGGCCCCTTGCAGCACATGTTGGTCGTAACAGACGACTTAGTCTGTCTTACAGACCCTGATACAAATATATATCAAATACAGCCCATGCAAGTCTATAATGTTTGGCAAGTCTAGATCACTCTGAAATGAAGAGAGTCACTGGGCTCCTTTTTATTATATTTTTATTAAGATAACTGAACAACTGTTTTTTTATGTACGATATGTTCATTTCAGAGACTAGATTTTTAGTCTACAGACGACTTAATGTATCAGATAGTCAGGCCTGGTGACCTGGTTGATGACGTGTCATCGTACCCCAACATCGTGCATCATTGCTCGCAATATCAGTGGATTGTGTGGTCCTGATTTGATTATTTACAAGCTGCCCTCATATAGCTGAAATATTGCGGCATTAAACAATTTGACTTCAGCAGATCTAGTCAGTTATATATAGTCTGGTAATCCCGAGTTTGAATATCCAGACAAGTTTCTGTACCGGTAGTGAATCGCCATGATCGCTAACGTATGACCACTGTGTGATATTTATAACTTAGATATGTAAATAATGACAAGATAGTATGGATGATCAAAGTTTTTGTTACAGCTGTAGAAACTAACAATGTTATCAAGCAGCATCATTGACTTGATAACACTGTTAGACATGTTGGAATCTGACCTTGAAAGGACTTGATCATCCATCCGTCCTGTTCGTCACTTCCTACTAGTCATAAGACACCTGGGTATAGGATGCATGTTCTGTTCAGTTAACCTTCAGCATTGGGCTTGTTGGGGAGCATAGGTGGTCGTCGTGCAGAGTTGCATCCCTTAGACGCCAGGATCTGCTTATCATTGGTTTGATTCCTGGCTATGACTCGGTCATGTTAGCTCCTTTCTTGTGCTTGTGGGTTTTACTGAAGGGCATTTGTTATTCCAGGGTTGATAAAAATAAGATGTTTTGTTGTTTTTTACTTAAAAATATACACTTTTGCTATTTTTCCAGTATTTAAAAAAAATAATATCTATGACATGTACCATTTTCACTTTGGCCTTTATCCTATATGAGTCACAACACAGTGATTGGCCTTACCTGCTCACTCTATCAGCTTTGTGCTTCTAAGATGTTTAGGCTAAAAAAAATAATAGTTTTGGTTCTCAGGCACCACCCACATCATCATAAATTCTGACGCACGTTTTGTTTTCATTTCCATTTTTTTTTAAATTATAAAGATCCTAATACTTCAACACAATGCACAAAATAATTGAAAATGGAAACAAAAACGAAACGTGCAATGAACTTTATGATGACGTGGGCAGTGCCTGAGAACCAAGACTATTATTTTTTTTTAGCCTTACATTAACATGACAATTATCATGACTATTGCTGGGAAGCTGACTTTCTCACTTTACAAACAGATTTATATATAGTAAGAATTCTGTGTTATGTTATGGAAGTAGATATGATTTTAGAATTATGTTTAAAACACGACAGCTGATGCAGTGTATGTGTGAAATTATTAGTTATGTATGGTATGTTTTTTTGTAAGGCTTTGGGAGTTTCATCTCTGCTTGCCTCACTGCCACACCCCTCCTCACATCATGTGTTGCCCCACCCATGTCAGAACATTTGCTATGATGTTCTTTTCTCTGCTTGATTCAGATACGTGATATCAAGGTCCTACAAAATTTCATGCTTCATGTGAACCACATCTGTCAACAATTGTGTACATAGATGATTGCGAATAGTTGGTTTTGTTTATATTAAATAAATAGATGACTTTTGAATCACATTATTTAAAAAAATGAATGAAAATCTAATAATTTCATTGTGTGTATCATACAGAGGGAGAGCCATGATTATCAGATGTCCCGCCTGTGGTAGATCGTTCTGCGTGGCCAATCTTTGTGCGTTGCCAATCGTTCTGTGTGGCCAATCATTGTGCGTGGCCACATACGAAATAGATAATGAAGGTAGAAGATTTTTATTAACCCGGTTAATAATTCTGACCCTAGTAATGGCTGACAAAGGACCACCATGACACAGGACAAACCACAAGAATACAAAGGTAGCATCTCTCGATGTCAGCACATGAACATGACATCGTGGCGGGAGTCTTTGTGTTCGACATGACGTCACATGACAGTAGATATGTACATTCCGGCCACGAATCTGAAAATTTGCAAATGTATGTTGGAACATTATGTCACATGACAGTGGATATGTACATTCCGGCCACGAATCGGACAATTTGCAAATGTATGTTGGACATTACGTCACGTGACTGTGGATATGTACATTCTGAATCAGACAATTTGTATCTTAGAGACCTGTAGTTTAGGGCCCTGACAATGCATCTGTGTTTTGGGGCTGGAATGAGGAATGGGGACAAGCGGCACCTGGTGGCGATGTCCTGATAGGCTCCCCTCGTGTATTGATGTATAGCTGCTATACTGATGTACGAAGTGTTTGTGTGAAATTCTCCACGTTCCCTGAGGTCTGGCTGAGTGCTTGTTGCTAGCGACCAGTTTGTGTTTTCATTTGCTTGACCAGGTTATTGCAAATTGTAATTTATTTTTGTTAAACAATATAGAAAAAGATCATGAATAGATACTGATTGATATTGTCAGTATCCCCTAACTCTTCAACCTTGTTTCCCACCAAGCCATTGACAACATAACAGAGAAACTTCTCTTAAATTTTTTGAAATGCAATGAAACGATTTGAAATGCTATGAAACGATTTGAAATGCTATGAAATTACATTCACATAACCATGATAACACCACCCCAGGTATATGTTGTTAATTATTTTCAGACGACTGTGCTTGTCGTAAGAGACAACTAACGGGATCGGGTGGTCAGACTCGCTGACTTGGTTGATGTATGTCATCATATTCCAATTGGGTGGATCGATGCTCATGATGTCAATCACTGGATTGTATGGTCCAGACTTGATTATTTACAGACCGCCATCATATAGCTGGAATATTGCTGTGTGCAGCATTAAACAACAAAACAACAACAACAAAATCAAACCACATTTGGATTGACTTATGAGGTGGTGTAGAGATATTGCATTTATTTTATAACTGACTGTATTCCAAGCAGTGTAGATAGTGTTGAGCTGTCACTTTGTGGACATGCAGAAGAAACTATATTTGGTGAAGGAGTTCAAATCTTTATCCTATGTAAGCGTTCATTTTGAAAAGCTATGAATCATCATGTACAATCATTTGTCCTTTGCATAGCCAATTATGTATTCAATTAATGTATGTTGTGTCTGTTGTATCTGACCAAGAGGTAATCAATGATGTATTTGTATCAGTCTTGTTGAATTTTCTTATGTATGCTTGTATGGATGTCGTGTGTTTGTCAGTTTTCTATGTTTTTATTCGCAGCTGTTGACTGGACGTCAGATATTCAGTGTATTCTTGTTTGTTATGATCCAAAAAAACTTATTTTTGAATAAGTGTACATACATTGTTTCATTGCTGATGTTTATATTTGGAGAATGTTTATTTATTGTTGAGCATTGCATGTACAGTTCTGATATTTTGCTGATGATTGATGGAACATGTCAAATCAATATGAAACCTACTCCTCTGTTGTGATATGTTTAATCAAAGGGTTACCGGTATGTTAGTATGGACATAGATTAATATCAGTATGTTTGTTTCTGTCTATGAGTGACTTTGGGGTAACTCTGTGGTTAAATTGTTCGAGGTTGACTCATCACAAGATCTGAGTTGGGTCTCCACAAAGACCCAGGGTGTAAAGCCTTACTGTTCTGTAGTGTGCTGAGATTATTTAGTTGGACTTTCTTTGTTCCCGTAGAAACAATGTTAAATATATCCCATGTTGAATCATTCTCTCAATTGTAAATCAAAAATAGTTTTACTGTTTTGTACTCCTGTTTTATTTATCATCACTCTGGAAATCTATGTTTTATACGTTTTGAAGATATTGTAAAGTGAATGCGTGTCATCATGCATTGAATGTGTGTCATCATGCATTGAATGTGTGTCATCATGCATTGAATGTGTGTCATCATGCATTGAATGTGTGTCATCATGCATTGAATGTATGTCTAATGCATTGAATGTGTGTCATCATGCATTGAATGTGTGTCATCATGCATTGAATGTGTGTCATCATGCATTGAATGTGTGTCATCATGCATTGAATGTGTGTCATCATGCAGTGAGAGTAGGGAATCACATCAACTGTAGCTGTGGCTGTAACAGTGCTTACTGAGGCCTTAACATGCTTACTTCATTCCCCCACTCACTACCGGTATGTATTGACCTCCGCACCCAGTCAGGACATGTTTGTTTCATGAGATCCATTATTCAGGTTCCTTGAGTGGCCTATCTCAGCTTACGTAAAACATGAAGGAATATAAAACATGAAGAAAATGTTCTCAAATAGCATTTATCTCACCTCGTGGCTACCTGTATTGATTAACTACTTATTTTTACTTGTCTGGGCACCCAGTTCAGGCACCCAGTCATGAGACCCAATCGGGGTATATGGTCCAGGCACCCAGGGCACCTAGTTCACTTAAGTCACTGGAAGATTGTTTACAGGATGTAACAGTGACTGTATTTGTTCTTTCTGTTTGCTTATGTTTCTAGGTTTTGTCAGCACCATACCCGTGCTCGTGGGTTTCACCGAACTGGTAAACGTCTAAGACCTGCGTCACTTCGGGCTTTCCTCCCACATTAAGCTGACACGCCGCGATATAACTGGAATACTGTTAAAAGCGGCGTTAAACCCAACTCACTCACTCACTCACTCTTTCTGTTTGCAGTAGCATGTGCCTCATCATTGCCTTCATCCTCGTGAACGGGTGGCCCAGTCATCTAAGGCACCTCGATTCGCTGTGCAGAGTTGCGTCCCTTGGGCACGCCAGAAACCTATGATTGTGGGTTCGAATCCCGGTTCGCCCCGATTATGTTTCTAGGTTTGTCAGCACCATACCCGTGCTCGTGGGTTTCACCGAAGTGGTAAACGTCTGAGACCTGCATCACTTTGGGCTTTCCTCCCACATTAAGCTGACACGTC